TGATACCAAAGGAGTAACTGTTATCAGACTAAGTTTTTTTTTCTATTTATATACAATTCCAGCAGAGCTTTATCAAATTCAAAATGCTAATTAAAAGCTGATAAGTTGTTCTTTCAGCCCAATTTACATCAGGTCTGTTCACACAGAATACCAGTTTAGATTTTCTAGCACTTTATATGCAATTTGTGATAAAATACTCAAAATGAGTCATTTTCTGTGGAACTAAGGCTTAATACATAATTCTAGTATTTTAAAAGTAATAGTAAAAACCGTTGTTAATTTTTTTAAAGAAAAATGTTCTTCTCTGATTTACATGAAAAATTTATTTTTCCTCTTCAATTTACTACTTCAGCTTGTAAGATCTTCCTTTTAGAAGGAATACTAGACGGGATGGTTTTGCCTGGTTTAGCACTGCTTTTACCATTTTCCCTGAGTAGGCACTTAATGAAGGTCAGTGTTCAAAGCCTGAACTATCCGTCCGGCCTGAACAGCCGTTGCCAGGGCTGGAGCTTGCACAGCGCTGTAGCCGCTGGCCAGGGCAGCTGGGCCACATGCAGCCCTTGGGGTGTCCTCCCCGGCCTGCTGCCTTTCCTCCAAGCCCAGAGCTGTTTCCTGGGCATTTTCTTTCCCAGCACAGTGAGCTCGGAGCGTGGCGTTGCAGGGGTTGGGTTGCAAGGCTTTTGCTGGGTGTTTTAGGTCCGTGGGTGCTCGCCCAAGGGGACGGGAGGCCCAGCAGAGGCGAAGCCAGCAGCCCAGAAGGGCCTTCTGAGCAGAGAGGGACAGAGCTTTCCTAAGAGCCGCATCAGAGGGTGCAGGGCCCCACAGCAGCAACTTCAGGCCAGCTTGTGTTACCTGAGATTGGGCTGGTCAAAACACAGTCTGTAGTGGGAAAAATCTACCTGAAGATTTCTTTATCTCAACAAATCAAGTCCCTAATTAGGCTCACTATGTGTCAGCTCAGCATACCATCGGTATCTGTCTAGGCCAGCTCACAGATACAACAGCTTAAAGCAACTGGGAAACTGGAGAGTGCCCAGTCTGGATGAGCTGCTTTCCGGTGGTTTGGGAGGATCGTGGGAGAGCAGCATGGGCCTGGGCATGCGTGTGTGTCAGGGACAGGCCAAGGGCATAGTTACTGGGCAGGTTGTTGAGCAGTCCTGAGTTCCTGCTGTCCGAAACTGAGCTCTGGCAGCTGCAGCTACCCTCACTGGACCACGCTGATAAATTGTGGCGATTCTTTAAGCTGATGTATGAGGTAGTGGTGTTTTAAATGCCATTCCATGGTACACTTACAGATGCCTGGATTTCAGTCTGAGTTGTGCTCTTTCCTTTAACTTCATTAGTCAGATCTGCTCTGACCTCGCTAGTGAAAACTACTGTTTATTTCAAATTGTTCCAAAACCCTTTCCTGTCCCTAGTCTTCTGTTGTTCTAGCACTTTTGACAACAGCCACCTGTTTTTCTGTATTTCCCAAAAAACCCCATCAACTGCCACAGCCCTGGGGACAGCCTGTCCTTCCTCTTGCCTCTGTTCTATGCTGACCACTAGCTGACCACAGTGAGGTGAACATCTCAAACTGAAGAGGTGCAGGGAACTTAGGGGTACAGAGGAACCCTCTAATGGATTGGAAAGTAAGGGAATTTGCTTGAAGGATAAAATTGCTAACATTAAAAAAGACAATACACAGACTTATCTTTAAATCTAACGTAGTTTTGCAGCTCACTAACAAGTGTCACTTTAAGCACAGTTCCACCTTGGCCTTAATGCTAATTATATTTCACTATAAAAAGCCAGACTGGCTCTGATCTCACATTTGCATTTAATTTTCGCCTCCTGAAACCCTTTCTTCCAACTCCTATCATTGGATTTGCCATTAGGAATTGCTGAGCTCCAACCTAAAATATACTCCTGAATGACTCTGTCGTTGAACAAAGCAGATGAGATTTGTGAAACTTACTGTTTTTTAAAAAAGAAGGTTATAATACTGCCATATATTACATGAAGGAAACATAAAAATTATCTTGCTGTTTGAACACTGCTTTTGTGTGAAAAAGTTTAAGTAAACATTTAATAGATTTGCCAGCCACAGCGTTTCACGTTCAAGTTTAGTTTTTACTTTTGCTTTTCTTACAGCAGTTTCCCCTCCTACAGTGGCGACTCCTCTCTGTTCTCAGTGAGCAGTGTTCGTGATCCACATTTTGCTATAATGTGCCAAATTCCGTGGCAGTGTAGTTCTCCTTGCAAGACAGTGTTTGGGGTCACACTAATATTCTGTATTCATCACCTAAACCTGCTACACCCATTGCCACCAATATAGTATATTTAGGAAGAATGACTATTTAACAAGCTTAGGCATCATGAAATGAAAATGGAAAATGGAGCAAATGTCAGTGGTGTTTGTTTTTGTTTTCCTACTCCTGATATGAAAAATAATCGTGTATATTAATGCTACTCTCTTGACCCTTAATAGAGATTTGGGGACTATTTTTAAAGCAGGAATTATATCTAGGATTTATCCTTCAGAGAAGGAAATCACCTGGTAGAAAAGAGAATTTTACAGGTTCAGGCACATATTTTCCATGGGGTGCTTAACACTGAGAGCACAGCTGAATATAGCTGTAAAAACTGAGTTTGCTATGGTCACAATGATCATTAAATTTGGCAGGTTTGAGACTGATGCTCGGTAAGCATCATACACATGAGATGCCTACAGGAATTAGAAGAGATTTAAATATTTGCATATATATATAGTCTGCATATCATATGTACAGAATAAGGCTACCCACCTACTTATTACCACAAACCACAATTTTCTACCACCCTTGTCTTCACGCCCATTCAGCGTGCTTGAATAACGGAAGCAGTTCATACGTATGTGTGTAATTAATTGCCGGTCTGCTGTTTTCTCCTCTGGAGCGCTCTCTTCCTTCCCCATCACCCCCTCGGTTCATCGCCTGGCTCGGGAGCACTGACAGGAGCGTCGCTCCCTCGGGCCGTGGCCTTGGCGGGCTGTGCGGGCAGCGCGAGGCGCAGCCGGGTGCGCGGAGCCTCACGGCGCATGAGCGCTAGTGCCGCGAACCGCGAGGAGCCACTCGGAGCTGGTGATCACTTCCCAGACTATTTTTAAACATCTCGTTTTTCCATTTTACACTTGTTTCTCCTTTTCATTTAAAAAATGACTATCTGAGCCTTGAGGCAAACCTTAAATTTAGGCCAATGCATTGAATAGTCTTCTACAGAGGTATTGATTCACTGTCACTTCTGTAATATTTTATCTTTTTCCCTTTGCTGTATCTTACAAAATCTTAGCTAAATCACTCACTTGCATCAGCACTTTTACTGTGCTGAATAACTTCCTCTCCTGATTATCTTTATGGACATACTTTATGTTTGGCTATATTTTGAATTTTTATATTGACATTGATTAAGGTTACTGTTAGAATGTTAATTAAGAATGCTTAAGGAAAAAGAGTATGTTCAGTAGGTGGACTTTTTGTTCAATTTTATGTGTTTTCCGATGACTTAATATAAAATTTGCTCCTGTGGAACAGGCTACTAGTATCTAGCCCTCCCTCCTTGGCATTCAGGCCTTTACTCCCACGTAAAGGTATCTTCACGTTCAGTAACCACTCCTGTTAGCGCTGTCTACATTTCCTACTAGGGTTTTCTAGAAAGTAAATTGTCAGATTCCTAGAGCTTTTATCCAATAAAGAATTATTGGCAGAAGCAGTTTCTGCTTGTTACCAAAGGAACAAGCAAGTCTGGACTTCGAAATAAAGGCAGGAGGTTCTGGTTTATCATCATTATACCATGGGGTTGAGTGTACGAGCTCAGGCACCTGCTGAGGGGAATCAAAGGCTTGCCCGGCGCAGGCTGCCCGCTGGGGCAGACAGTGTGAAACGTCCACTTCTGCATCTGCCTGCCCCAAGCAGAGCTGAGGGGGAAAAGGGCGAGGGAGGGAATTCCTTAGAGGTTTAATAAAGGAAAGCTGTAGATTTTAAGCAGATGGCATACTAATATCAAGTACAATTTGCTGCCTAACTATAAGCTTTACAAAAACAGCCTTTTTTTATTGAAGCTGTTGTTTACTGTACAATACTTGTTTTGTAGAAAAGCTAAAGAGAACTATTCTCAGCTGCCGTTAGGCCAATTTATCTTTCATTTGCTCCACTCTTCAGTCTCAAGCTTGATGCTTCCAAGCTTCACTGACCAACTGTGATGCTTTAGATAAGGTATGCAAATAATAATGAAACAAATTAATTCTGTCCTTAGTATTTACAGTTATTTTAAAACCAAAGTCTCTCGTAGTAAGCTGACCAGCAACATTGGTGTTTCTCTTCCTAATAAGATGCACTCCAAGCTGGGGGGGGGATGGGTTTGATTTTATTTTTATTTTTTACTATTTTTATTTCAAAGGGTGAACTCTTCACAGCAGAAGTGCTTGCAGAGAGGGCCTGAACCTAAGCAACACACAAAACTGGTTCAAACTTAGAAAACAATTTTATTAAAATGTTTGTTTCTATTTTGTATGAGTTCATTCAACCAGTTTCATACACTTGTGATCATTCAGTACATTTTCCTTTTGGTGTTGGAAACAACTCTTCCGTGTAGGAATATCTCTATTAGCATTCATCAAGACTGCATATTGTTTAATGTTCTTTAGTCTCTATTATGAGAATTAATTTTGGGCAGAAAATTACCATGTGATACGGATGATCAGTCAACCTCTATAATACATATATACTGTATAGCATGTGCCTCGTTGAAATTAATAGAGATCAATCCATTCATAGCCTGAACGTTGATTTTGTTTAGGTGCTTTTGAACAGTAAACTGAATAGTTGGGATTTTATTCTAACTTAAATTCTTGCAAATACTGCATGCTGTTGTGGCAGCAAGACTTGGAATCAATTCAGTTTACTTGAGGCTTCCGATGTGAATCTGAGTGAATTATTTAGTATATTTGCACTCAGATATCTTTGTGCTTGTTGCCGGTGTCGATGTGGGAAATTGGCTGGGTGATAAAAGGACACAGAGACATGGATGAAGAGACAATCATAATGGGGCAGAAGGGACTTCAGTGTGAAAACCTCTGTGTAGATTCAAAACAGCCCATCAGATTTAGCAGGATGGAGGAAATTCCATTAGGGACTGCTAAATATGAAGACACTGTCACTGGCTGAAGTTTGTGCATTGCTAATCGCTGTTATTACATGCCTGCTCTGTTATCGTTTTCTTCCGGAGGCAGGTCTCCGGTCTGACCTAATTTGATTTTTCTCATCGTATGTTTCACTGCAGAATAGCTGTTCACCACAGAAACAGGGTTCCAGAAGGGATTTTCCCATGAAGGCCTAGATGATTGTGGCTATATAAGCCATACCTTGTTCACAGCATAAAAAAGGGGCAAGTTCTGCTAAGAAGGTTAAGTCTTTACAGTCTAGAAGAGGAACTAACACAAGCCTTGGGGAGCAGATCCATGCAGTGGAACTGCTTAAAACCTAACCTCAGCGGTAACAGATGCCCCAAGTGGTTGGTTAAATTCGAACCACAGCAAGGAGTATAGGTGAACTGGACTGCCTCATCTTCGAAACGGGGGTGACCCTGACAGCCAGCATGTAAGGACTCCTTACACTTTTCCGTCAGTGACTTTGTTGGACATCAAGGGGTTTAGGGACTGTACATTTTTGACAAGCTAAAAAAAAGTAGCCTGCTGTTTAGTCTGACGCCATGCAGCCACATTAGTTTAGTCTTTGTCAAAGGCAAATCAAATTTACAATGTTTAACCCCAGGGTTGTTCACATAGCTGACAACGGAGTATTTCACTTAATTCTGTATATTCTTCTTTCTCCTCAGAATTATGGTTTGGAGACTGAAAATCTGAGAACACTCTCTCACAAGCTGAACGCTTCAGCCAAAAACCTTCAGAACTTCATAACGGGTAGAAGGAGGAGTGGCCATTACGATGGCAGGGCCTCCAGACGACTGCCAAATGACTTTCTTACCTCTGTAGTTGACCTGATTGGTGCTGCCAAGAACTTACTAGCCTGGCTGGACAGGTAATTTAGTATTTCTTATCCCTTTACACGTTCTTGCTATCTCCTGCATTTCCTCTTTCTTTTTTGCTTGCAGTGTTGTTTTTTTTTCCTCTCCTTTTTTTTTTTTTTCCCTCCTAATATTAAAATGTTAATATTGGTTTGGGAATGGTTAATATTGGTTTGGAATTCTAACTTCAAGTTCTGCATTGGAAATTTCTCAAATATTGGCAGTCAAACTGTGCTAGCTTTTCCTAGCAGTGGGATGTTAAATTTTTCTCGTGTTACTTGGTGAGATTCTTTTCAGATTGATATCATTTTGTGCAAAATGAATACTTCTGTGCAATTCCAAGCTGACAAATCACTGCCACAAGTGGTAGCATCGTTGGCCATATCAGAAAGGAAGGGAAGTAAGAAAGGGTTATGCAATTTGAACCGCCCTTCACCCAGAAAAAGATAAAAAAGGGAAGCTGGAATTGAACTATATCAGTTAAATAGCATTCAGGAGAAATGATAGCACTTGCTTACTCTGAAAAGGAAAGGTTTCTTATTAAAGTTTTTATCAACTGATTGGATACCTTAATTGCAGTTGTGCTTTTGGTGAATGATCCATGACCGCTATTGTTTTTGATTTATGAATTGAGAATTGGATTACAAATAATTCTCTGAATAAATGTAGTTAAAATTTTGACTGTAGAAAGAAACCAAAATACAGAATTTATGTTTTGGTTTCTGTCTCTTTGGTTATGGCAATGAATAGCTTTATCTGGAATCTGAACGGATACATAAATGGCACCTTAGAAATCACAGTTAGAGTAAATCACCCTCTTTCACAGCGTATGCATAATTCTGGTGACATCTTCCTAACCTAATGCCAGCAGTCATATTCTCTCGGGCTATGACCTTGTCAGTTCTTATAAATTCAAATGGGGTCAGAATTCAGTCAGAATTTGAAAAGCCTGAAGAAAACCCTTGTGTGTAGGAAGCTGTTCAGTGGCTAACTAAGCATTACTTTGCTCTCTGAATTAAGGTGCTACCTGAAGAATGGTGTCACACTGGAAATGCTGTCTTCTGAAAAAAAAAGTCATTAAAAAATCATGACAACTTGCAATTGTTAGCAGCATCCTATTTTACCTTCCACAAGAATGATAACTTCTTGTGCTACTGTAAAAATCCATTTTATATTCTTGCTACCTACTTTGAATCTCGTTTCAAAGGCATACTTCATGAAAGTCATGTAATTTTCTGCTGGAGATTGTCATGATTAGGTGATTGAAATTTCTGCAGTACAACTAATGTCTATACAGCAGATGCTTTCTGTAGTGTCCTTGAAGACTCCCAAGGGAAGGAAAAAAAGTACAGTTGTGTTCTTGGAAAGTAGATTATTTGGGGATTTTTTCCCTCGATTAAGCAATGAAATATTTAACTAACCCAATTACATTTGCCTTTATGAAAACAAATTTACTAGCCATGAGTCTGTTTAAATACCTCTTATACTGTAAACAGGAATTCTGTTTTGTTTACGCTGTACACATCTCCTCTACCTTTCTGACAGGTCTCCATTTGTCAGCGTGACAGAATATTCACTGCTGAAAAACAACATTGTTCAACTGTGCCTGGAACTAACAACCATTGTGCAACAGGTAGGAATGCTTAATCTGCTGCTCTTTTCAAGTCCTCTTCACATTGCTGCTGAAAAATCACAATAATAAAAGCATTGTTTTCACTTCCCAAGCAAAATTGTTCGAGTTACCTGTTACTATGTGTTCGCTTTCCCTGCGAGCGATGGGAAGATTTTTGGACTCCATTTGCCCTCATGTGCCTGCAGAGATTGAAGAGTACTGTATAGGTAAAAATAGTACTGTATAGGTAAAAATAGTCATCTTCTGAGTATAAGGCTTGATGTTAAAAGAAAAACCACAGTAGCAAATAGCTTAATTACTACCATCAATTTATTACAGATTATAATATGACTGAATGAAAATCTTCCAGGGACTAGTTCCAACAATACCCACAGATTCTTTCTTTGCCTGTACTATGGCTTTCTTACCTTAACGAGTCGCCAAGCCAGTTGGAAGTTGCATAAAAACTGTTTATTGACTAACAAGAAATATTCATAGCAGTAAATGAATCAAAACTGGAGGAAATGTGGGTATTACTACTACTGCCATTCCCTGCCCAGTGGTAATACAGTACACCACAGATACGTAAAATTAATTTCTCTGGTTCTCTAGTGCTATATAATATACACATAATGTCAGTATCTGACAGTGTCTAAAGACAAGAGGTGACAAATACAGAAAGACTAAGTGGAAACTAGTTTAGTAAATATTTATGGTAAGCTTCTCTCCTTGTGGTTAGATGAAAATGCAGTAAGGTAAAATAGTGCTATTGGAACAAGCGGAGAGCTTAGAAGAGAGCAGGTATTGGAATAAAATGAAAGAGGAAGATAAAGGTAGTGCTGACGGAAATGAAGCAAGAAAAACGATCAGCTAACCATGTAGTTTTCTAAGCACATTGGACTGGTACTGCCTTCAAAATAAATGTTTCCATTGCCTGTTTCTACCCTGTGCCAGCCCAGTTCTTGCACCCTCACAGAGAACCAATCACGGAACTCACTCAAATCAAAAAGGCTTCCTGGAGCAGTATGTAAAGGTAGTGCTGACGGAAATGAAGCAAGAAAAACGATCAGCTAACCATGTAGTTTTCTAAGCACATTGGACTGGTACTGCCTTCAAAATAAATGTTTCCATTGCCTGTTTCTACCCTGTGCCAGCCCAGTTCTTGCACCCTCACAGAGAACCAATCACGGAACTCACTCAAATCAAAAAGGCTTCCTGGAGCAGTATGTTTATCAGAGCTTTCAGGATTTTTTTTTCTCAATTTATTTTTAGTTCTTGCAAAACGAGAAAAAAAAAAAGGGGGGGGGGCAACCAGATGTGTTGGGCCTGGCCTTAGCTGCTTGTATTTTTGCCATTATCCTTACAATATTCAGCTTTCTTTTCTTTCAGAGATATTGGTGTGTGCCTTGTCCTTTATGTATTTTTGCAGTGCAAAACAAAGATCCTTCTTCTCTCTTCAGTTTTATAAGTTCCTTTGTAGGAATTTTATTTACATATCTTTATGATCACATTGTAAGAGAAAACTTAACATGAGACTATTTTTGATCTACAGACTAAGCAAAACGAACATGTCTACAGTGCTGTAAGTTTGCACTCGCATTCTGCCCTGCAGCGCTTTGTGAGAGCTCTGGTTTCCCCCTATGGTCTAGGTGAAAATCTTTTTAAGTTTGGATTGACTTTTCTTCTTCATTCATTCGACTGTTCTTGGCAGCGGAGATCCTGTTCTCCTCTGTCACTTATAGTTTGGTTCATTTTTTTCTCAGTTCTACAACTCTACTTCAAAATCTGTAGCATAAACTCCAAGATGTTTCAAAATGAAAAATATTTATTTAGTTTTTCAAGTGACTCACAAATGGAGTCAAGTTTGGGCTTTTAGCACCAAAAAGAGTAGAAAAAACAAAATCCTTCATAGGGAGACAGATTTGCTGTTACTAAATGTGAGGAAAATTGATCTTCATGTGTGAAAGCCAAGATGTCTCACCTAAACCAGAACTGCAGTCCTAGATGTGGCCAAAAATACAAACTGAAAGGAACAGCAACTAGAAACCTGAATCCTTTCAGATGCTGTTTATGGTTTGTTTTACAAATAATGTGAATTTTTACATGTCTACTTTAGAGCAAAAGTAACACTCATGGCCATGCATTTGGCAAATTCAGTGACAAACCTCTTCAATCTGAATATTTTGTGCAAAATGAACATGCTCTCTGTACATAACTTACAGCTGGCACTCAGGGTGAAATTATTTCTAAATGGGGACATCATTTCCATTTTTGATATAGGCAATGCTTAATATCCTTGTGGATTTTCTCACTAGGATGTACTGTTTGCATGTGCGTGGCATAATCTTAATATAATAGGCAGGTAAGTTTTCTAGTGTTTTGATTAGTTTCTCTGAGTATGAAAATGACATCATTTATTAAAAAAAATGAAATACATGAATTACAATGTTGTATATTATTATTTCCATAGCATATACATGCTATGATGTATAAGCAGTTGACTGTTGATCAGTGGGTTGTATCTTATGCCACGTATAAGAGCACTGATCTCTAGTTGAGATTTTTTTTGTTCTCTCTCCTTTGGAATCTATTTTATTTACTTAGTTCTTTTATCCCTCATCATCTCCCCTTCACTAAAAAAAGCAGGGAAACTACAGAATCATAGAATCATAGAATGCTTAGGGTTGGAAGGGACCTCTAGCGATCATCTAGTCCAACCCCCCTGCACACGCAGGGCCACCTAGAGCACGTGGCACAGGACTGCGTCCAAGCGGGTTTGGAAGATCTCCAGAGAAGGAGGCTCCACAACCTCTCTGGACAGCCTGTTCCAGTGCTCTGTCACCCTCACTGTTAAGAATTTTTTCCTTAAGTTCCTGTGGAACTTTTGGTGCTTCAGTTTCCAGCCATTTCCTCTAGTCCTATCAGTGGCCACCACTGAAAAGAGACCAGCACCATCCACTGCACTTCCTCCCTTGAGGTACTTACATACACTGATTAGATCCCCTCTCAGCCTGTTGTTGTGTATAACATTGCAGAAGCATTGAGCCATCCTGATTTAAAGGTAAGCTCTTCCATCAGGATGTGCTGGTGGTGAGGCAAAAAAACTGTGATTTTAGATCAGGAACCGAGTTTTACAAATGTTCAGGTTTTCCATGTTCAAAGTATAATGGCTTTACCTTTGAGACAAACTATCTCTCATTTTTGATCAGCGAATGAGTCCATGAAAGGAACCTCACTGAATTCTAACTGGGTTAAGTTCTAGAGCAAGACCACATCCAGGGAATGTACCTGGTACATGTACATTCCAGGTGGAATATGACTTAAATTTAGTTCTTAAAACATATCCCCTCTTTAACTTCATTTTACAGTAAGAAGAGTTCACCAGTTGTAGAAGGGATTTTTTTTTCTGATATATTTAAGATATTCAAAGCCTGTCATAGAGACTTTGATCTGTACATTAAACTGCAAGGACAAACATCTGCTAAACAAAAGTTTTGTCTCTATCTTATCAAAGAACATCATCACATCTCAGGCTAATTTATTTCCAACAAAAGGCTAGCACTCCTGCTTCTTCTCTTCTTTATTCATGTTTGAATAGCCCTACTGAGATAAACTTAGAGAAGATATCATAGATTTTATCGTGTTTACTTTAAATAATTTGTTATTAGGGTAAAGTATATGTTTTAAAAGGCTGCCTATTTTAGATTCCAACTGATGCAGAATTTTGATGTCTCTTAATACTCTCCTGAACCTGGTCTTACTTTGAAATTAGCCCTGCCTTGAGCAGGTGGTCCGGCGAGATAACCCCAGAGGTCCCCTCCACCTCAACTACTCTGTGATTCAGCAGTTACCTCCCTTGTTAAAAACATGGGTGTTATTTTCAGTAGGAACTTTGCAGACTTCATCTGTCAGGCCCCTAATCTTGTTTTGTCTGTGTCTGCTAAATAACATTTTGCTATCCAACATCTGTTCACTATTTTCTAAATATAGATTGTGGTCAAGTCCTTTACTTAATTAAACTTAGCAAAATGAGTTACTTCAGTGTATTTTCCAGTCTACATTGAGCTAATTTGAAGTAATCTCATTCTTTTTAATGAGTGAATTCCAAAAGTGTATTTAATGTTACATAAATAAGAAATATAATTTAATTTTCCTATATCCACAGTTATATAGAGAAATGGGCAAACACAAAGTTTAAATTTTATTCAGAGTTTCTTCTTTATAGGGTCTCTATTTCTTTATGAATTTTTAAAGTGTGGTTTTAACATATCACAATTGCCAAGGTGTGTAGGGCCCATGAAATGATGTTCCTGTAATGTATAAGCTGGCTTGAATGCAGGGCTGTTTTGTACTTTTTGTGCGTTACCATTTTACACTGGAGAAATTGACTGGAGCTGCTTCTTGTTTTTTCCAAGTTTTTAAACTGTAAGAAAAATTACTTTTTAACAAGTCATCTACCAACAGAAGACTGGGAAAGAATATCACTGTAGCTATTATTTATTTTCTACGAAAAATGGATCAAGATTCTATAAATGTTAATCCTTTTTTTAATGAGATCCCTAGTGCATTGCTATGTATCAGAAACAAATAAATCAGAAGAATATCGTGACCTATATATATATAAATATTTTTAGCACAATATTGCAAGTGTTTTTAACTTCTCATTTAAACTAGTCTGAGGTAATTTTAAAGAAGTCCAAATACTTTGGAAGGAATTCCAAAACCATTTTTAATGTTAATGTAAACTTGAATATACAACATACATAAAGCAAAAAATAATTCTGCTCTACAGAACAGTACAATTCAGTTTTCCTATATGTAAATCTTCTATCCTTTGACCTGAAATAATTAAGCTTCAAGATGAAGCTTCCACTGTATTTCTGACACACAAATTAAAGGCATAATTTAGAAAGCAGCGTTAGCTGTGAAGTCAAGCTATAAGCCCTGCTGCAGTCATTTTGTTCTCTTGGTACTTGGAGGGTTAAAAGGAGATGGTGGATATGCTGCTTGAAGTGTGTTAAACTGGTAGGGAAAACTGCCGTAGGCATTGCTATCCAAACTAATTGATTTTTTTGTGTATGTGCTGTAGAAAATGACAGTATGAATGCTGAAGAAATATCAAAGGCCTGCTTCACCATGAAATGCTAATATAAATTCTTCTCTGCAATGCAATATTTTGATTTTAACTTGAATATTCTGTATTTTTTTAAAATGTATTCATTTAGAAATTAATTTCTATACCAAAATGCTGATCTTTTAAAAGAAATGTAACGCTTGGAGTTGTGGGTGAGTTTGTCATCTCTGCTTCCCTCCTTTGCACTGGGGCGAATGGCTCGGGAGCCATGGCCCAGTCCCCAGAAGAGCAACCCAGGGAGCGGTAAGGGGAGAAGGGCCTGGATGGGTGCACGGCAGTGGCCTAAGCCAAGCCTGGGGTGGGCAGAGCCAACCCGCTTCCAGAACGAACCCGGCAACAGCATCAAACTCCTCTACACAAATCTGAGACTGCATCTGGCACTGGCAGCGCCACCCAGTCAATATCCAAGAACGAAGAAACCTGGAGAAACGTAGGGAATCTTGAGATGCTTTAGGGGAAGTTTCAGGTCTAACCGTCAGTTACATTTTACTCAAAGATAAAAAGCAGTGAATCTTTCCTTCTTATATCCTGATTCTGAAAATATCTAACCTTTCCCTGTAGAAAGCTTTTTTTTTTTTCCCCAGCATATTTTCAATCCTATTTTGAGAAATGCTTTGCAATTTCCCAATTGTAATTTTATGCCTGTAAGTATCAGTCCACTTGTATGTAAGCTACCTGCGCAAGTAGGCCTTACTGAAAAAAAATCCAGGGGTAAATCCCAGGTATCCCGCGGGCCCTCATAGGAGCATCCACTCTGCCATGCCCTCCCTCGCAGGCCTCTGGGGGGTGTTCGGAGGCCCCGCCCCGCGCGCAGACGTTTGTAGAGCTGCTCTGGATGCTCGAGGGGCAGCGGCCGCGCGACCCTCCCTCACTGCGGCTGTCACCCCGCCAGGAGAGCTCGGAGGTTTAGCGGAACCTCCGGGTTTGCTGCGGCCGAGGAAGTTGGTTTGAGAACAGGAGAGACACTAAAATCCTAGGTTGCTGCGGAAGGAGAGACACTTTCTTATCAAGTGCAAATTTTAAGCATTTTCCTTCTAAAGTATCTTATCCCCGAGATCTGTTTTGGGAACTAAGGGAGAGATTGACTTGGTGAAGGACAAGTTATATTCTAGCATCTATAATGCATTTACACCTTTAGCGCCCTTTTTGCTTTATGAGTCTTGGCTTAGGGAGTACGAGGGTTCGTTATGCTTAAAATGGTAAATGGCAAAATGACTGCTCTAGAACTGTATATGCTTGAAGAGGTTTTTAAGAGGCTGAGCTTAAATTGGTTAATAACAAGATTTTAACATGGAAAGGTGGAATGGAATAGTGTTTAAACAGTTGAAGCTTGAGCAGCTCATTTTGCTGGACATGTTCCCATCACGAACAAGCCCATGTGTTTTCCCATACAGTTCTGCATGTGTCTTGAGAAGTGCAAGAGGAGTACGGGAATTCTCCCAAACACGGGGCTGTATGTGATTCTTACTCATTGTGGTTGAAATAGGCCCTTGAAACAACAGGTGGAGTGAATGAGTTCACAATGTAGACACGGTGGTGGTGAATGTTTTTGTAGCAGTTGTGCTTGTTGTCTTCCTTCCCATGTTTTACAGGAAACAACACAAAGGGGTAACTTTTGATGGTGGGTGTGAAGCAGCTGCCTTCAGAACCCCACGCAAGTTGCCCAACTTCTGCCTGTTTCCAGGCTAACCTGTGTATCTCAAGCTCCGGAGTGTCACTGAATTCCTGGCTTGCCTGGCCAATGCTTGATAATATTTTTTTCCCACTGTCATAAATCTGTTCCTTTTCCTCCTTTACATTAGTATTGCTGCTAGCCTTTTTGTTCTGTTGAAGGGAAGGATACTTCCCAGAGATTAACTAGCCACAAGTTTCCCAAAAAATAAAAACAACATTTTTGTTGTTTGTTTTATTTTATTACAGGATTGTACGGTGTATGAAACAGAAAATAAAATTCTTCATGTGGTAAGTAAGATACAGATATTTTGCTTTGGTACTTGCTTAGTTCTATCCAATCTAGTTAAGTGATCTAGAAACTTTTGTAAAAGCTACTGTAGGATGATAAAGTTTCTTACTACTTGCTACAACTAGCAATGAATGACATCTGTTGCTAAAAGCTACAGTGTTCGCAAATTAAATCAAATAGTTAATAGTAATTTCTCTGACACTTAGGGAAGGCGGTTTAATTTGCTGAAGGACTTGCTCTTGCAAAGCTTAGATTCTTTTTCCTGAATTGGAAGTAGTTCAAATTTAAGGCTTAAGAATCAGCTTTCTTCTGGCATTTCCCTAACCTGTGTTTGTTTTATATTAGCAGGCAAGACCTCACCACTACACAGTTCCCCAGAGTAATGCTCTGTTATATGTGCAGTTAATTACAAATACTTAGTTATTGTTTTGGAGTTATTTAGAAGCTTCCCAGTACTCTGAGATGGTACATTCTTACTAGTATTATATACTGCTGGCATGGAATCCCAGCAGTGAATCCATCCCCTGCACTGTGTGGCTTCAAAGCTTATCAGCAAAGCCTCCTCTGAAAGCTGATTTCAATACCCAAAAAATAATAATGACTCAAAAGGGATGGGAGAATCTCATGCAAAATTATTGATCAGATGTTGGTCTTTATGTGCAAGACTGCAGGCTTTATATTTTCATAATACTGGCAGAGAAAAGTACTAACACTGAGCTGGAGTTTAAATCTTGTGTTTAAAGTGAGCTCTCAAAGGATCTGCAAGTTCAGATAAGCTTTTGACAAGCTCTAACCTAATGCTTGATTTTTTAAAAACCCTTTTACACATATTCTACTTCCAGCAGGGATTAAAATATGTACTAAATCATTGATGTGCTCTTACATTCAGAAAGTGTGCAGTGACTTTCATATTAAAAAAAAAGCTTACTGTGACAAACCAGCTCTTGAATAAAGACTTCTAAAAGCACCTGAAATCTCATGGGATTTGGCGAGTGTGCGCGTGCACGCAACACACACAAGTGTGCAAACACAAACCTCTTAATCCATGGCTTAGAATTTTTTTTTTTGAATGTTATTTTTGTCCTTTTTCACTGGATGGAAGGCTGAAGAGACAGAAGAGAGCAGAGAAAAGCGACATTCCATTGAAGTATTCCATAGGCTTTGTCACACTTCCACTTCTGAGTGGTAGTCTAGGCTGTAGCCTGAGTGCAGTCATGTGGAGCTATCTGATGCAGGGCATCCGAACTCTGAGAATGGTCTAACTGCAGGGAAGTGAGAAGGACCACTGTTATTTCTGCCTTGTTTAGCATCATCTGCCTCTTCCATATTTCCCAGCAGATTTCGTTACATCCAGTCAAAAGTAACACTTCATGTGTTGCTTTTAAATAATCCAGGATCAGTTATTTCTCCGTCAAATAAACTACCATTTTCTACTGTATGACTTGCTAGCCTCTTAGCAGATACCATCGCTTTGGCAACCTTTTGGTCTTTCGAATCACTAGTTAAGTGCTGGTTGCTATCCAGAATTGAGCATAGGAAAAGTCTTTGGGAGCAGTGTGTCAAAAATTGGCCCCTAGGACTGATGTCTCGAACTGTTTGAAGATGAGCACATTCCTTCCTGCCTTATCCTGACCTGTCAGATCACATCAGTAATAAATCTCTTGGGATTTACATTCTTGAATTAAAACTGAACAGAATTCTGTCACTACTTACAGTCATATAAAATGGCTGGAGGCGTTTGCTAAATTTTGAGCGATTTAAAGCCATTTGAGGTTGAAAGACAAAAGAGAACTTGGGATAAGAAAATAGAACCAGTCCCTTTTGGTCAATAGGTGCATCATATCTTAGTGGTGTTATATTCAGAATTTTGTTGTGGACAAAAAGTGAACGGAATATGTGGATCCAATATTTTCTTGCTAATCTGATAAAATGAAGGCAAGAGCCATTGCTAGTCACATACCAGTAACCCAAAATTTTTAATTAAAAAGGCAAGGAGGGAATTGCTAAGGTGATTAAAATACCTGCAGGCCTTACTACCTTCTAGTAATTGTCACTTTTAGCTGAGGCTCTTCTGGTCATCGGGACTCTGGAGGTCACTGGCCGATGTCTTGCGAGGTGAAAGGGCTGGGGATGCTCACAGCAAGGTGCCTCCTGAGTTTCCTTCAGAGATAGGGTACTGTTGATGGTGTTGGTTTCTTACCCTTGTTTCCTAGGATTTGGGGTTCTTTTAGGGTTGGTTCATACATGGCTTTTTGGTGTGCTGCTTTTCTATTAATCTGCAACTCATAATTATGCTACAGTGTTTGTTTGTTCATAGACACTTGCTGCACTTCTGCCATATCTGGTATGGCTAATAGTGAGATGAAACAAATTCCAGGGATTAGAGGTAGTGAATGAGGTCTGTGCTTGGCAATAGGACCACCGGTGACCTTGGATCTTTCATAGGAGTAACACCACCTATGTACGGTGCTACAAGGCTGCAGTAGGAGATTTGAATTAGGAAGACAGATGAGTGAGTTTAAATTTTTAAAAGTCATACGGAGTTTTATTTTATTTTTAAAATCAACACAAAAAGTCAGGAATGAGATATTTACAGGAGAAAGAATGACTTGTAAAATGATGTTGACTTTTCCCTTTAGTTACCTGAGAGACTTGGTGAGGGGCGTGTTCATTTGGAGGGCCACAGTAGGCAGTTGGTGCTCAGGTGACGTGATGGCAGGTGCAGAGATCTCTTCTCTCACTAGTCCTGTAGGTAGGTTGCGTCTAATGTACAGCCTGGATGTAACGAGAGAAGATAAATTATGAAGGAGAAACCTTCAGCATCACTGATTGGACACCACAGAGCACCCCTGAAAGTCAGGTTTCCTTGTGTGGGTGTCTGCTCAGCGGTATCACTTCTTTGTAGTAATACAGCACTTTTGCATTTGAAAATAATGTGGTGGTAGCTCCTTCTCTGTACTATCAATACAGATAATTGTTCACTTCTAGCCATAGTACAAACATAATAGTGTCTCTTGCATTCAAAATACTTCTTTATGTTCTTCTTTATACATCATAAAAAGTATACTTCTTTATACCTCTTACTACTTATTTATATACTTCTGACATATTACCTTGCATGAAGTGCTTGAGACTTAGTGTTCATAGAGATTCTCTTCTTGTTGTGGCCCATTGAGAAAAATACAGTAAAATAATGTAGGTCCTAGACAGGCTGTTAGAATCCTTGTGCAGCAGGTACTGAACTTCCTGAAGTACCCCTTTCTGTTCGGAGCGTCTCATCCCTTTTGTCTGAAGCGTGGGGATGCTGCGCCACCTGCAGAGCGCCTGCTTGGGTTCTCTCCTTTGAGAATTGGTGCCCAACAGTCTTTGCTTCTCTCTCAACTTGCTTTTTATGCAAAAATGTTTTAACATCTATTCATGTATCTTCCAGTATTGCTAGTGCTAGATCAAGCAGTGTTTCCTGTCTCTCTGTTATTTGTAAATTCTCAAATGTTCTCACCTATACAATCTTAGTCTTTGCATTATTTATAGCTTGTGTCAGGCCTGTCTTCTATCTGCTGAACTGTCTTTAGGCTGAAATTTTGAAGTATTTGGATGTATTGTTCTTGAATATTGTATTGATGCTAAAATCCAACATAGATTTTAATTGCATTTCTGAATCTTGGCAAGATCTTAAAAAAATTTGTAATTTTGCTTGAGAGAACACTTCTTTGCAGTTTATTCTGTTCCAAAGTGTACTTACTGCAAAAGTATTTACATGTCATGTACATGTTCAGAGAACATAGAAAGTGTTCTCTGAAATTCAGTATGTGCACATGATATTAAAATGTGAAGGGGTAGGAAAGTTTGAAATCATAACTGAATTTTGATACAACCATAATTGCAAAACTAGAAGAAAACATAGGCACAAAGCCATGAGTTTATACGTAAAATATCAATAAAGTGCATTATCGAGCTGGTTTCCGTATGAGCAAAAATCCTTGAAATATTGTTTAAGGGTTTTGTTCCAAAATCAAAATTGCTAGTAAAACTTCTGTTATTTTGTTGACATCTAGATGCAACCATGCATGCCTGACTGTGATGCTTCGCATCTTGCAGCTGATACAAAAATACATAGGCAACATCCAGTACTTCACACTTGTACTTGAATTTCCGGATGAGTAAATAAACACTGAGTGAGAATATAATCTATAAATTCAGTCAGTTAATTTATTCATTGTGACAACTTTTATTTGTTTTAACTTGCATGGATAGTGTCAAATGAGATATTTGAAATCCTCATGCTTTTAAAAATGCTTGAAATAAAACTTCCCTTAAGGAATTTCACTACCGTTTGCTGTAATTAGGGAGAATGACAGTGCAGTCCCTGAAGGAAAATAGATGCATACAGCACAACTTCAACCAGAAGACCATCCTGAGATTCATTTAAATGAATAGTTTCAGATTAAAATCGTATATTTTTAGGCCTACTTTTGAAGGAGCAGTTTAAGGAACACATGCAAACTTAGGAATAAATCTTTCCACATGAAGATTCTCTAGGAGTCTGGAGCAGTTTCTTTCTGGTACATGGACATTTGATGAACCAGTTTAATCTGTCTGCATCATTGTTACCATCAATGAAATGGACTTCCTACTTCACAGGAGTTTTGTGGCATTACCATTCTAAGATCCTGACCTAAGAAACAGTATAACATAGAATATAATTATTACATAATTACAGTGGTTTAGAATATTCACTAAAGGAGGGATTTGAAGGTTGCATGGGAATTTTACTTAAACAGGAAATGGAATAGCTTAGGCACTTTTCTGGCAGTCTTATTTTAAGCAGAATTCACCCCATGTTATCAATGATATTATGGTTGCTGTCAATGTTTGATAGCCAAAAAAAAATTTTAATACAAGTTTCACTTGATTTCCATTCCATTTCATTCAATGATATATTATAAGGCAGTGAAATGCTTTGGAAAAATATTTGTAGATGCACGTACATTATTCTGACATAAGCACATTTTTTTAAACATCTTGTTCTTGACTGTTATATAAAGCACAGCTTAATTCTTGGCAATTTTTATTTTTTATGCTTCTAAGAACTCAAATAGGTGGCTCTCAAAATAAGCGCTTATTTGCGAATACTGTTAGTTAATATGGGAAATGACGTTGTCTTTTCCTTTGTAGTGTAAAACATTATCTGGGATTTGTGACCACATTATCTCGCTCTCATCTGATTCTCTGGTGTCACAGTCAGCACATCTTGAGGTAGTTCATCTCACCAGCATTATGCCCAGTGAGGGATTGGTAAGTAGCAGAGCTACTTTTAATTGTGGAATACTGAATACATGCCTCAGTACTTTAAGATGATTTCAGATTACAGTCTCTGTTCAAAGAATATATATATATTTAATATGATTTTAGATGTATTTATGTAGGGCTTCATATGTTATCGGTAGCCATATAAGCAGCAAAAGTAGAATTTGAAGTCCTTTGATAGCTGTGCTACAGTTTTGGAATATAGCAAAGTAGTTTATTTTGTTTGCATATGTGCATATTTTGGGATCAAGTACAATTAGTATGCTTTGAAAATGAGTAGTTCATGGTCTGTTCCTTAGGCTTGCATTAAAGTTATTGCATGCCTCCCTTGCAATTCAGGTTAAATAAAGCTTTCAGAAGGATGATCTCAGAATCAAAGTAAATACCTTAAATTTGTATGTACTTGTTCACTGAACAGAATGAGTAAAAATCATTTGCATGTCCCAGCTGCTCTGCACTAGTAATGGGTCAAAGCATTAGAATTATCTGCAGTGTTGACAATAAAATAGTTATTGGGTTACTGCTTTAAAATACTGATGTGCTGTTACACTTTTTGGACAAATGATTTATGCCTGTGGGATTTTAGGGGACAGTGGATGAAAGTTTCCATGTCCTCTAGGACTAGTTTACTAGTCCTCTAGGGTGCAGAGAATTAGTAGAATTGAGGAGATTTAGGGATTGTGCTTGAAAACTTAAGATACTCTTAAAATCTAGATTATAAAGTAACACTGCCAACGCTGGGGTGCGCATACTCTTGAAGAGACAAATGCCTTTTCCCAGTGATCTTGTGAGGCAGGAGTTTCCTTCTGCTTTCTCTAAAAGACTCATCATTAAGTATAGGAGTAAATTTAAATCCTGAAGATCTGGGTGACCAAGACACTGACTCTTTTGTTCCTGCGTGTCCTGTGGTCTGTGGCTTCTTCCCAGTTGCCTAGTTTTCTCATAGAATATCAAACAGGAGGGACTGTGCTGTTTGTTTGATTGTGCAAGAAGAAGAACCATGATGTAGTTATGCTTTGCAAAAATACTGATAAATTTTATAGCCAGCACAACTGCAGTAAGTGGGCACTGCTGATGGAGGACAGACTGTGTTTGAAAGTGCTGGTTAAATTCCTTCTAGGTGAGGTGAAACCACCACGAATAACTGAGTTCACTGTGTCTAGTTGCGAGAGCACTGTAACGTGGTAGCTTGGCAAACTCCTCATAATGGTCTGTTTTGCTGAGTCTATGTTCTGTTCAGAAAAACGTATGAAGAAGGACTAAAATGAGAAGATAAATCATTCAAAAAAGAAAACAATTGAGATCAAATATAAGACAGAGTAATGAATTACAAATGGCTTTCCCATGATTGCATAGCAGTTTTTTTCTACAGGATCTCTGTTCGTTACAAGAGAAAAATGAGTGCTATTCACTGGATAGCATGTATTTAGTTCCATTTTTATCCTTACAGTTCAGTGCAGGGATGAGGTCTTATTTACCACATTTCAGCTAAGCTCTGCATTCTTTTGGGTTATGGATTTCTTTGAGGCCTTCTCAAGTGTTTCATGGATGGTAATTATTTCATCCTTGCAAAGCGCTTCCGGAAATTATACTGAAATTTTAGCTTTATAGATAGAAATCTCATGCAGAGAGCAGTTTTTGTCAAAATTGTAAGTCTTTTTCAGGATCCAAAAGGAGATGCTTCGTGTATCATTTTTCAGATACTTAGTTTTGTAGTGAAAGTTTAATTGTAGCTAAGGTTTGCAAAGCCAGACACAATTTTAGCTCCAGCTTCCTCGACTGACAACTAGAAGATGAATACAACTCTTTGTCATTTATGAATCTGCAGCAAATTCCTTACTTGTGTTTATATAAGAATTAAGTTATCTAGAATGATACTCAGATGTTTAAATTTTGAGACTTTCTCTACTTGCAGAATTTGCAAAACAGCTTTTATTATATACCTTCTAGTTTCTTCAGCAAATGAACTGGAAATACTATAGACTTTGCATAAACTTGCACGTAAACTGAATTAATTTTTAGGCCAAGATGCATACATTGACTAGGCAGAGTCAAGACTTCGGCAGGGTTGAGTCTCTGTGTGTAATTGTTTAAAGAAATTCTGCATTGTAGTGCATTTTCACAAAAGTGACTGTCATTTGAATGGGTACTTTCAGTTCTAACATTTTCTGACTTTATAGTCTTGCATTTTCAAGCTTTTCTTTTCTTCTTCCTAAAGTATCTTTTTATCCAGTCTGCTTTAGTTAAAAAATAAAAAAGGGGGATATTGTTTTATCATGTGTATCTCAGAAGATACTCACTCTGTGCTCTTTAATGGCTGTTTGCTAGACAGAAGAATTTATGTTGGGAGGAACGTGTTTTAGGTTCTTGTGGGATATGGAGAGAAATTGGAGAGAACAATTGGAGACAACGAAAGAATCACTTCCCACTGAGACAGTCGCCTCTCTGGAGCCTGGGATAGATTCCAGGATCTGGAGTTGCATCATTTGTGTCCTTTTGGTCTGAAGCCCATTGGCAAAACACGTGTTTTACTATTCTTAGCTTACTGATTATCTGGTTCTATTTGGTAGTTAATATTGCTGAGATCTGTGAGGTGGTTGGCATGCAGTTTTTGTAAAAGAAAAAATTGGAATAATTAGCTAAAAAGAGTATATGCTTGTTTCTGTCAAATTTTATAACAAAAGTTAGTGTGGTTGAAATAACAAGTGTGTATGTTCTTTTGTAAAATGCTAATTAATGAAATAATTAAAGGTTAAGGCCTATGTGAAGATAGAATAAGCAGAAGAATTTATTTGTTTCGAATATGCTGAATTAATATGGCTTTTTTAAGCCAAAGATACAGTAGAAAATAATTGTAAACGATACCTCTTTCTAACAGTTCCAGTAGTGTCAAAATACAGTCTGCCCAGTTATTCATATCTGGGCTTGGGAAAAAGAGGCTTAGTGCTTTGGTTTTTCAGCTGTGGTATTGAATTAATATTGCCTGGAACTTGCATTATTTGGCAGAACGTTTTTTCGGCCTGAATTCCTATTCTTTTCAGGGCTTGTTAATCACAAAAAGTGCTTACTGTAGTGGAAACAGAATAAAGGAGTAATGAACAAAAAGATGGCCAATAGCCTGTTAAGTTGAAAACAAGGTCCAGCTGTTTCTGTCAATTCAGGCTGTGAACACGTGCATACTTTTACTTGGCTTATAGAATTAGCAACTCTCTAGTTTTGACCATTTCTTTTTCAGTTTCAAACATGCTTGTAATTCAGAGGTAGATGGTTTTCCTTTTTTTCCATTAAGTTTGATGGAGATGATTCCGCAAAGCTTTTGCTTATAGTGCCAACTTCATATATGTATTTGAGCAATTTAAACATTAGAGAACTACTAGCATGTGACATCATCACTTAAAATAATCCTGGAGATTTAAGTCCTTAAAAAAGGAAAATGGGGAGGAGCGTCCCCAGTCCTAATATAACATTGACATAAAAGTGTCCTTCAGAAATAATGCATTTTCTAAGTGGCATTATCTCTCTGAAGGTGACATTTACGTTTGAAGACTATTACTGTTAATTGTTTCAAGTTGGTTACTCCCTTTACATCACTAATAAAGAGGTCAAGCGGTCTATATTTCAAAGATACTCAAAAACATCACATGCATTTATGCTGATGGTAGTTGTTGAGTTCTACTCAAAACCCTTGGAGAGTGGGTGTGCGTTAGAAAAACACATAAAATAACTAATGTCTATACATTTCCTTTAATATATATATATATATATAAACTATCTTTCAAATACAGGCTTTAACCTGTATTTGAAAATGGTGTTCAGTGAGAGTTCCTGCCAGTCTCTTGAAATGTCATTGTCACTAAAGCAGAATGAGCATAATTTTTTATTACTGTGTAAACATTATTACTTCGATAGTGGTAGATATTAATTACTCTTCTTTCTCTTTTTTTCAGGGAATGTACATCAAGTCAACATACGATGGGCTACATGTAATCACAGGAACAACTGAAAATGTAAGCTTCTTTAAAAGACTTTTTATCATAAATGTGAGTATTTTCTGGACATTTGCAGTATATTTTATAATGAAAAAGCTAGCTTTAAATTAAGACACTGTATTACAAATACAGTTTTTATAAATACAACTAATTATTTTTGTTAATATTATTTTTTCTTTGGACGGAGTTTTCTTGCCTCTTTCACTGTTTACTACCAGCAATCCTAAACGTCAAGTTACTTGTTTTCTGTTTTTCTAAGTCTCCTGCTGACCAATGTAAGAAAATCCATGCTGGAGATGAGGTGATCCAGGTCAACCATCAAACTGTGGTAAGTATTTGGTAAATTCTGCATTGCAGGCTTATCCTGACATTAAAAAGATAATAATTATTTTCAGCGGCTAACTGTGTCAAATTATGTTACTATTTGTGCCTTCTAAAATAACCCTGATCAAGCTGATGCCCACTGAGGAAAGGCACGAGTTGAATGCTTAACAAGCCCAGAAAGGTTAAGTCAAACTTATTTTGAATAGTTGCTCTTCATTGTAATACTCTTTATATATGAAGATCCCAGAATGTTTCATCTGCAGTTCAGAGCAATTTTGTTGATTAAAACTCTTAGACTTTTCATTACAGTTTTGCTGGCTGGTTTCACATTTTCTCTTAAACAGGTTCTCTCTAATGTGCATTCTCTTTAATCTGGGATTTGTCTTCAAAATGCAAAGTGCTGTAATAGCCATGTAGTTGGAGTAATGTTGGTTGGATAGGGAGGAAGCATGCAAGGAGAGATTAAAATGTTGATAGGAATCTGTAAAGTTTTGCTTTTGTGTGTTCTTGAATGCAGATTTATTTTTAAGAGATGAACAATTTTATAAAGTCAATGAAACCGTTAAACTGTTCGGAATCACATAAGTACGTGCATGCAGAAATGAATACGAGTTGAAGGCACCTGATTTGCATACTTCTAAATGTGCTGCTGTCAAATCTGCAGGGTGGTGTACTGTGTGAAACAGACTTCATTTTAGGACCTCATTAAGCAAAAAAGCAACAAACATATAAGCAAACAAGGCTTTAATCCATTTTCTGTAGAGTACCTAGTTACTTAATTTGCTAGTTTGCTGATGTAACTGGATAATTTGTTGATCTTGTGCATGTATGAACAAAATAGTTACCCAAACAATGGTGAGAGAGCTCATCCTTGCTCCTCCATCGTGGGGGGCATCCCCTGAGTTGTAGCAGCAAACCCGAGAGCTTCAGCAGTCCAGGTGCTGGTCAGTCTGCTTTGAAGGCCATTTGAGGGAGCTGGAGTGTTTGTACGTTCCAGCTTCACGTTTTGGTCTATGCTGTCCCTATTAGTTGTTTCAGTTACCAGATTTACTTAATTTCCAAGTTAAGAAGAAGTTAACTAACTGCAAGGACAGCAGACCTCACTATGTTTCATCTTTGAGTATCTGATGTACAGGACAGTTCCAGTGTTGAAGATTATTTTGTTATTATAGACTATTATTAACTTTTGTCCCTGTAGTATCGTAAGTCATAGAGACTTTTTCTCCAAAACCAAAATGGAATGAGTAATTCTGGAGCTTACAGGTGCTGTGGAACACTCATATTTCCTGCAATTTAGCCACAAATGCTGTTAAAATGAAAACAATAATTTCTATGAAATTCTTATAATGTAGCCATTTAAATTCCTCCCCAAAACGAACATAGCATGAGCAAAACTGTGAAACCTTTTTCTATTTCTTTGTCATTTGAATAAGATAGAAATGTGAAAATACAACTATTAAATTCTTATGATTCTAGTGCAAATATTTGCTCTTAAAAGTAGTATAATTTATTTAGTTATGCTGAAAATATTAGTGCAGACTGTAGCTCTTAGCTTTATCAGAGAGGTTTTATGAGTTGTCATGGTTACAAGTTGAAATATGTATTAGACTGGTTTTCTCTGTCAAACTTATTCTTAGAGTGACAGATCTGATTTATCTTGAGTCCAGTAAGTGAAACCTCTTCATTCAGCTTCTCAAGAACTCGTGTTCTGGGCAGCAAGTCTTGTTTTCATGTGTGTTAGTACAGCGGGCCAAGGCTTTTCATACGTGTAATCACTTTCGCTTTAATGGCACAAAGTGCACAGCTGAGTCAAGTAACATAAAATACCTTCCTCATAAAAGCCCTCCACTAATTGTTAATTCTGGAGTTCATTACAGGCTGAAAAAAGAGATAAATGGCAAGCTGTTTCTCACGGAAACTTATTCTTCCTCTGCAATGGTTGGGAAAATCTCATTCTTTATTCACAATGACTTTGGAGAGGCAGCCAGTAACGCGGAGCATTTTGTTTCAGAGGTTTCCATCTACCGCTCCTGCCCCCATGGATTGAGAATTTTAAGGGCTTTAGTATCATGTTTGATCTTCAAGTCTGCCCTTTAAGTCACTCGTGGTGTGTCTTGCTGTGTGAACAAGTCATACTACAAGCCACACTTTTATCTGTTCCTTCTTCAGCCATTACCATGAATTCTCATGATCAGTCATATCTCAATTATCATTATTCCATGGTAATACCCTTGTTCCATAGCTGAAAGCAGTGGAGCTTCCCTTATTTCTTAAATTGAGCACAGTGATTAATTAATTTTAGAAGAAGCAGTCGGCATTGTTATGTGAGATGAACGTTACCCATAGTATACAAAGAACTTCCTTACTTGTTACAGAACTTTCATGATTGTCAAAATATTACTTATTCATATGCTGTCATACCTATTGCCTCTATTTTTGTATTAGTTTTCCACAGGGGAATACATACATAAAGCATTAGAAGTGCAAGTGAAGAAAGTACAGGTGCTAATATTGCTTCTTTTGCCTGCTTTTGCCTGTTGATTTGTAAGGGAGGTTCCATATTTTCATAAAATGTATGTATGGGAGCAGAATTCAGGCAATGATGCAGAAATGTACTCTATGCAGATTTTGCTCTCCTTTGGATATTCTGCATACTATAAGAATTATTCTTATCCTAACGAAGACGTTTTCTCAAGATTGAATTTTCTTTAGTGTTTGAGTAGCCTTTCAAATATAAATTCTATTCAATATAATGTGTTTTGAAATCTTCTGTTTTGAAGATGATGATTAGATACAACCTTTTCATATTGCCACGAGTAAAAATACCTTCTTACACCCTTCTTACACTCCAGAGGGCTGTGCTGCCGTTCAGAGGGACCTAGACAGGTTGGAGAGCTGGGCAGAGAGGAACCTCATGAGGTTCAACAAGGACAAGTGCAGGGTCCTGCTCCTGGGGAGGAATAACCCCAGGCACCAGCACAGATTAGGGGTTGACCTGCTGGAAAGCAGCTCTGTGGAGAGGGATTTGGGAGTCCTGGTTGACACCATGAGGCAGCAGTGTGCCCTCGTGGCCAAGAAGGCCAGTGGGCTCCTGGCTGCATCAGGAGGAGTGTTGCCAGCGGGCGAGGGAGGGGATCCTCATCCTGCCCCTCTACTCAGCTCTGGGAAGGCTGCACCTGGAGTATTGGGTGCAGTTCTGGGCTCCCCAGGGCAAGAGGGACGTGGAGCTTCTAGAGATGGTCCAGTGTGTGGGTCCGGTGTCAAGGAACAGGGGCTGAAAGCTCATGGCCAATAGCCTCTTGTATTTATAACGTTCCAGACCAGTAAGCAAAGCAGTACATGTGTGCTACATGTGCCCCGATAGCCAATCCAGACTCGTCCGAGGTTTGCATAACTTGAGATAATCCGGGCATAAAAAAGGTCAGCTTTCCGCTGCATCGTAACTTGCTCCTATGTCTGGTCAGCAACCTGCAGTCTAGTCAGCAACTAGTTTTTTGGGTTGTCTGTTTTTGCCACTTTTGCCTTTTGCCCTTTTGTCCTTTCCCCCACACGGGTGTAGGGTCACAAAGATGATTGAGGGACTGGAGCATCTATCGTATAAGGAAAGACTAAACGAGCTGGGCCTGTTTAGCCTGGAGAAGATTGAGAGGGGATCAATATGTATAAATACCTGAGGGAATAATGTAAAAAAGATGGGGCCAAACACTTCTCTGTGGTGGCCAGTGACAGGACTGGGGGTAAAGGGTACAAGTTGAAACACAGGAAATTCCATCTCCATGTGAGGAAGAACTTCTTTCCTGTGAGGGTGCCAGAGCCCTGGCACAGGCTGCCCTGAGAGGCTGTGGAGGCTCCTTCTCTGGAGATCTTCAAACCTGCCTGGATGCGACCGGGTGCCCCATGCTCTGGATGTCCCTGCTGGAGCAGGGGATTGGACAAGATGATCTCTACAGGTCCCTTGCAACCTCAACCATTCTGTGATTCTTGATTAGAGAAAGTATTTTTTTTTAATAGATTAAGATCCTGTAATGGACTACAGACATAATCTCATCTGATTTTGATGAAACTAGGCCAATGTGTTTTGCAGATAAATTCATGTTTGCTTACTCACCAAAATCATTTGATTCTTACATTTTCAGTGATGTTCTCACAGCCATGTGATAAATTGTTCCAGTAGTTAATGATTCTTATTGCCAAAGAAAAAAGAATCCTGTCACATTTTGTTTGTAGTCTCCCTTTGTCTAGCATCAGCATTCAGTCCTTTGATGTTGATATATTTTTGTGTGTTTGATTGCCAAGCTTATTTCTTATTTAGATGCTTTCAGGATCTATCAAGTTATCTCCTCACCTTCTCCTTGATAAGCTAAGTAATTTGTATAGTTAGAGTTTTTCATCAGAAAGCATGTCCCTCTTTGACAACCTCTGCAAATTCCCAACTGAAATACTTTGCATTTTTAACACTGAGTTACAGGGCTGGGCAGGAAAAGCGTATTCATTCATGCATATGGCAGTACTTCTGTGCTGAAGTAGTCACCCACTGAGAAATATAATCATTACTGCTGCCTGCTTGTTTATGAAAGCTTGTTTTCATTTTTCATTCAAATATAGGCAAGAACAGGGAGTCTCCACCCTTGGAGATACGGAAAACCTGATTGACTTTGGTCCTGGACCTTGGTCCAACCTGCTCTGTAGCCCCTGCTTGAGAAGGGGTTTTTGACCAGATGATCTCCAGAGCTCCCTTCCAAACCCAGCTGTTCAGGATTCTGTGGATTCTTTGTTTTAATTGACTTTTTCCTTTTAAAACAGAACCTGTGGTTTTCCATTTAAATTTGGCTTCCCTCCTCCCCGAAGTTCATGTGAAGAGTCATAACCTATTCTGAAACTATAAGAGGAGGAAGTTTGAAAATACCTTGGAGAAGATGCAGAGTTGGAAAGAATTGTACAGTCCCCGCCATTCATTGCAGGCACTATAGATAACAGCACTTCCAATTGCTAGGCATTTCCCTGGGTTATAAAGCTGTCAGGCGTAATTATGTTGACTGTGACACCTGGGGAATTTCAAAAAGTGTGGCATTAAGCATTTTGGGATTGGCATGGTTAGAACACTTCAGCTGTATGCTTTCAAAATAATTGTTATTATTTATATAATTATTTTATATAAAACAATAACTGTACTAAGTAAAGAAGCTAGGAGGTGATTATATTCATGCTCTTTGTTTTCTAAACCCAGTATATAAACACTGCTAACAAAGTAAGACTGTGTTTTGCTTTTGAAATAACTTTTCAGTATAGCTGAGAGTTAAGTTATGTTCAAAAATACCAAAGTTTACAAAATATTTAATGCAACAATTGAAAAAGAAATAAAATATGGGATATGGAATTTGGCCTAACCAAGGAACAGTAATACAATTATGAAGATCAAAGAAAAATGAACTTTAGGCAAGAAATTAATTAAACCAGACTACTACTACTCACCACGAACCGTTAAGATCATTTAATCATTATCCAATTTTCCAATTGGATATCCAATATTTGCTTTTTTCTTCCTTCTTGCTATTAGATTTTCATATAACAATGCAAGAAACTTGAAAAAGTAAGTTCTACATTCTAAATTAACATCATACAAACTCTCTATTTTTTCCTAGCGGTAATAGCAGGCACTAATTCTGTTAATACCTTGTAAAGATGGACAGATCTCTTACAGAATTATGTAGAAGCACTAGTACCCCGCAGTATATTTACCTGTTTACTAATTTGTGTGAATGACATATTTTCTGCTGTTTACTTGAAAAAATAGGAAGAGTAAAATTCATTTTTTCTTAGTTGTTTTACACATGATTCTGCAGTTGGAGAGTTGACACTTTCGTACAGTGAAAATAAGGTAAAATGAAACTTAAGAGAAGTTTTCGTTAAGTAGTAGTAGTATAAAACATAGGAGAAGGAAAGAAACAAGCCGTAACAAACATATGTATTCAGGACATATTCAGGAGTGAAGCAAAAATGGATAACTTAGGGAAAAGGGAAAACCCTACTAGTCAGGAATAGGTAACACTTCGGAGGTAGTGCAGAGGGCAAAACATAATTAAAGAAATGGAAAAATGTAGTGTTAGCTAATGTAAAGTATAAACTTATCAGGAGTAGGTCATGGTAATGTCCTGCTTTTGATAAATCATTTTTCAAACAGTGGAAATGTTGCCAGGCCAACTATTGATCTGGCTGTCTGAATATCTGTAAAATAACGTGATGTAGTTTTGTGTGGAAAAGTGCTGGGTAAGAGAGAACTGAGTTAGGGGATTTGTTTGTTTTTGAAGATTAAAAATTTGGAGCTCATTTGTTAGAGCACAGAGCAATATAAGTGCTTTTAATAAAGCATGCTGTAAGCTATGTGTTAACTCAAGAGCAGGTGGCAAAAATCCAGAAGTCAGAATGTACTAATTAGTCCCATGTTGACTCAGAGCCATGGAGATGATGTGACTCAAAATGGGAAAGGTGAACTTGAAATTAATCAGGAATATGTTTCCAGGAGAAAAGTGTATTAATGCCATTGTCTTGACATTGGTAAAACCTTGTTTGAAATACTGGGCAGAAAACAGGTCAGTTACAGTCCTAAAATGTAAACATTGAGCATTAAAAAAAATGTTTCTAAAAGATACTGCAAAATACTGCAGTATCTGTCTTGCATGAAGAGATTATATAAAGGTTTTTAGTTTGGTTAATCTAGCCAGCCAGGTATGAGAGGAGATAGAATTTTTTTTTCTTCATAGATAGAGGCTATAAACATTAGGAATAGAAAGAACTTCTTATGGTAAAGGTAATCCGTGCTGTTCCAAGAAGGAGCATCCATACAGGCATCCATGAATTAATTTGTTATGAGATTCCAGAAAGTATTTCTAAAATTGAGAAAGGAGGAAGGAGCCTAAGTAGCCTGCCCTTTGGGATAGTGATGGAAGAATGGATCAAAACACTTCCTTTGTATTTGCCTGCAACTGTGTAGGTGAGTAAATGAATGTAGTGGCCCCAAAGTGCTCTCTCAGTTCAAACCCCTTTGCCGTGTTGTGTAGGCTGTTTGCTGTGTTATCTCTAAACAGCTCTTGGTTTTAAATGATGCAGTTGCATGTTAATGAGGTTGTTCTCTGGAATGAAGAATGCTCTGTGTACACGATCAGCAGCCTAATGCCCTTTCATACTGCTCAGCACATATTTAATTGTGTACTTGAAAATTAGGTAGGTGAGGAACCCACATTTTTCTCTAATAATCATTCCTGATTTCTATGTTAATCCAGTTTCGTTTGATTTGCCTCTCCCTACTCTGGGCAATATCGTGAAGCAAAGTGAATTAATAGCAGTACAGAAGGATGATACTCTTGTTTCCTAATGAAAAGCTCTGTTTACAAAATCCTAGTTTTAGTTTTTGTACAAGTATGAAGAAAGATGATACTCTTGAGATGCAAGTAAGTGTCCAGATGGGTTAGCTTATGTGTTACAAAAGCCTTGAGGGGAAGCATCTGTGCTGGTTAACGAAAGGTTTCAGTCCTACTGGAGTCTCAAAGCAAAAGTACTTGTTTGCAGGTGGTATGCAGCATATTTACATGTGTTTTAGGTATTTAGTAAATACTGTTTTGTACAATGGATTTCCAGATGAAATGCCTAAGAAGGAAATAACAACTTATTAAAATTTCCATTCAGTTAGTGCTCAGTGTCTCTTCTGGCTAGGTAGGATAAAGCTCAGCAAATGATACAGTGAGTGGGGCTTGCACAGCTCTCCCAAGGAAGTGAGGCTCTGACCTTCTCTTAACCCCGTCCTTCCTTCTGGGAGATGCACTCCGTGTTTCCATGCCCCTTAAATCACCCATGTTCCTAAGAGGCCCGACAGTTGCTAAGGGTTTGATAAGGCAGTGAAGGGCCCGTGAACCCACGCTTGTACTTTATCCCCAGAGTTTTCAGGAAAAGCAGAGCAAACAGTTGCGTTTCCTATCGAGTCACTCCAAAGGACCTGGGCTGTGCTTTGTAAATGTATGTCATGGTGCATAGGGATGCACTTTGAAAAATCCTATTTGGAGGTGGCTTTACCATGTCATGGGTATTGGACATAATTCCTGAAAACCTTTTTTTTTTCTTTTTTTTTTTTAATTCAGGGAAAAAACGTACTTCATTAATCTAATTTTAGTGTTAACATTCATTACTGAGTGAAATATCTTCACCCATATTACAGAATCTAATTAACTGGATGTATATGCGAGAAGACTTAAAGGAGCAAAATACCCTTTCCTGAATATTTCTCACTATAGCTAGAAGCTACTAATCGCTGTTAAAGACTGATTGTTTGAGGATATATGTCAAAACCTGTCTCAAGGACTGGTTTTCAGCTAAGATTTTTAATCCATTTTAATGACTTCTTTCTATTTTTTGAAGATATTTTTAGTAATACAATTTATAATGACATGTCCAAATTCCTAAGAGCATTTTATTATAGCCTACTAGTAATGATTGCAGACTGTACTCTAATAGATCTCGGTGTTTAATGGTTCTGTCATTAAGGTTCTCGTTGGAATAATTTATCATTAAGTTAATTATATATCATTCTTTTCTAAAAGGAACTCATGAAATTAAAAAGGTTTCAGCATTCTGAAAATTACAGCAATCTGTAAAAATCAAAAAATGGTTACTTTTTAATTCTGTAACTGAGCAAAAATAAAAATAGCCCCTGCCATTTTATAAGCAAAGCAAAAACTGGAAGAGTTCGTATGGAATGGACATTGACATACATAAATCACAAATACATTCCGTACCTAAAAGTCCAGAATATCCTTTGAATTAAAGCTATTTATGAAATGTAATTCACTTTTTTAGCATTTCTCCCTGCTCTTTTTTCATTTACTTGGTTTTGGTCTGCTTATAATTTGCTGCTGTTTTCTGAATTCCGGTGGTCAGAGAATTTTTAGATTTTCAGTAAAAACTTAAACTATTTAGATATTTTTGGAATTACTAAACATACTACAGTTCTTTTCAAGGCTTAGCATTCAAATCCACATGCAAACCTTTCATGAACTACATACTGTTCACATGTGCAATCCCAGTTTTGATCTGCTATAAGGGTAGATAAGAACCTTGCAATTTACATCTTAACTTCTCTTCAGGCTTTGTAAGGCAATTTGAATTGAAATCCCTTCAAGTTTACCTTTATTTTCTTCCCAACTTCATTTGAAATCAGATACTTTCCCTCTGTAAGAGGAAGTACTTATAAACCATTCCTCATTTATACACCTTCTCTTTCTGATTCTGCACACCTAAATATTTTTTTTCTTTCAGAAATAGTAAGAAAATGTGTATTAGATTTGTACACACATATGGTCAAAAAAGCAGTTTTAATACAAGTGTCCTAGGGGGCTCTGATAGGACAAACTTAGTTTTACTTGTCATATCTTAACTTTTTAAAAGATGTCAGTTCTACTTTCAAATTTGATTTAGAATGTGAATTCACAGATTATTAAAAGGGATACAGAGTTCACATATGCCTTGTTTCGCCAAGAAGTCTTGCTTAAAAAAAACAACAAAAGGAATTGAGCATCAACAGTATCAATTCATTCCAACAGAAGTAATGAGGCACAGTTCACAGAAACTGCTTACGTTAGCAAAGAGCAGGCAGCAGTAGACCTTTTCGGTTACTAAAAGGCCTCCCTTGCATTTACAGTTAAAAGCTTTCACAATCCAGCTCTGGGATTTTTCTTTAGGTTGGCTGGCAGCTAAAGAACCTCGTAAATGCATTGCGAGAAGACCCAAATGGAGTGATTTTAACATTGAAGAAACGTCCTCAGAATACCCTGGTTTCTGCTCCTGCCCTCCTGAAGAATGTGAGGTGGAAGCCCCTTGCACTTCAGGTAAGAAGGCTTTTGCAGCCCCCACATCCCAGTAAATCTGTATTCCATTAAAGATGCAGCACTAGAGACTGGGCTCCTTCCACTAGAAAGAGCAGTAAGAAGTCCAGTAGCGAGCATGAGCCACTGCTGGGTTGCTTGCTTTGACTAACAAGGGGAACGTCGCCTCTATTTTCCATTATTTTAGAGCCTGTCTAAACTGCTGGTGTGTATTTGTGTGGCGATGCTTTTGTATCCCAGTAAAAACCTGCTTGTTGCCCACATTTTTGATCAAGAGTTGTTTCTTTTGGTAACAGTGCTAATAGAACTTCTAATATTTTCTGCATACTTACTGTGTGAAGACCTGTTGTTTAGAAAATAAAATCTATTGTAGACAATTGTATGGCTTGTCCTTCCTACATATTCACATATGTAGTAAAAACTTAACCATAGAAAGACTAAACTCAAAACATCATTAGTAAAAGCACGTTTAGAGTAAGAGTTTCTGTACTGCCATAATCTTTCAGCTTCACGGTGTTGTTTTATTTGGATCATCAGAAACATGAATGTCCATCTGAATAACTTTAAAACAAAACAATCCCTTCAATCCTGATAAAATTATTTCTTAGCTGTCACTTCCTGAATCTTTCGTGTCTCCAAGTGACTTCGTCCTACGCAACTGCTCTGCTTCAGCAGTTTGTTTAAGCCTAACAGCTTGGGGTTGCTGACGTTTTTCAAGTGCCATCCTTCCTTTCTTTGTGAGTACCTTTTTAGAAGAAAGGAAAGGGGACATTGTGAGACCTCGAGGATATTGACAACTTTCCAGAATTTTTATGAGGGCACAGGACTATCATTCTTCTCTCTAGTTACATGATTCTGTATCTGCTTTTGAACTTAGTATGGAGTTTCCAAGGACAGAAAAATAGAAACCGCATTTACAAGAGTGCTTCAGTAGAGGTTCTTTTTTCATATTAATACATTAAAAATTGTAATTCGAGAGAAGCATAAATTCAGGAAGTTTTGTCAGTGTGAAACCAGTATGTATGATGTATATATAGCCTAATATATTTTGGAAAACATGACATCCTGTGTCGTGGTAGGTAGATAATTGAAAGTGCATTGAACTATTTTTGGTCAAATATCAATAGTTTCTGTTTCGTGGTGCATCCTCTCCTGATGACGCAGAAGGTAAGAACCCCTGAGGATCAAAGGACGCTTTTAGAGTCATATTTACTAGGATATTTATTCTATACTAGAGAATAGTATAGTGAGGGATTTCAGTAAAAGTCTAGATCTGCTCAGAAAATAAAAAGAGTAGTGGCAGTGTTGCTTTCCAATGATAGATATTGAAATGATAAGCTGAAAACCACCTTTCAATCTTTGGCATCTTTAGTCTTTCTTAAGATCTTTCTTTAGTCCTAAATCATCTTAGCATCTTCTTTAGTCTTCATGGTGTAGGAGTAAGCTCAAATACCCTAGATAAATTCTAGGATGCAGGTTTTGATTTTGCCCATTTTCTTCAGTTGTCTCACCTGGATCTGGTGGTATTTATCTTTTTCATTGGTGACTTGGACTTAGCATATGATTAAATGTCAGGATGATACTATGGCTTGTGTTTCCTGGACAGCTGATCTAACAGATTGATGCTGCTGGAAGGCAGTGATCTCATTTCCCTCTCCTTATTCTTGGATGCAGAATGTCCTCTCCTTCGTTTGTCTCTGGCATTTGTTAGATTCTTTAGGTCAGCTTAATTTATTGAATTGGGGGGAAGGCTTTTGGTTTTATTTGTTTTTTTGAATTCAAGTGGCTTTTACTGAGCCCCAGAGGCTGTTGCAGTCTCAGAAATAAGCAGAGGACACTCAGCAGAGACAAATGGGAGGTTTTATGGTTAGACACAGGTAACCAGCTGCATGAATGCAGCTAAGCAGCATTCAGTAGAAAAAGATGTGTGTGGAAGTAGCATAGACAGAAAATGATTGAGCAGATGGCACTGTTCCAAAAATAAGGCAATATGTATGAATACATACATATATATATATATGTATGCATGGACATGCACTGTGAATATATGTATATATGCATGGACATGCACTGTGAAGTATGACACACATGCAGAGTAAATTCTTTCATCCCAACTTAGTGCTGATAAAGTCTTTAACAGTAAATCTCTAATCACTTTTTGCCGGGAAATGCTTGCCTTACACAAAGTGGTCTGTTTTCTTTTTTCTCTTTTTTGTATTTTATTTGTGTTTTTATTTTTTAAAAAACATAAACAAATAGTGTATATTGTGTCAAGAGAAAGTAAACATGAATCCTCCATAAAAACAGAGTAAACCTTTGGCTCTCGCCCTCTTTCCTCTTGCAGATGCTTGTAAGCACAGGAAATAGGATTTAGCAGCTTAAAATTCAGAGGCCTGAAGTGTTTATTAACTCAGCTTGGTATTCAGTAGGATTTTTTTAAAATCATGATTTCTGTTTTTGCTTGAGGCAAATTTATAAGTATTATTAGTTTTTTTAGTGATAATTTTGTTACAGATTATACCAACTTGTTTAACTTGGAAGGTACTGATGATACAGAATCTGTGAGTCCTTCTTACAGAATGTGTTTCTTGGTGGTCTCATAGTATTCTGTGCTTATGTAAGGACAGAAGCCTGTTGTGTGGTGAAGCTCTATGCTCTGCTGCTAGCAGTCATGCCAGCTTCCCACTTTCTCTTGCATTCTCTTGTGTTGGGAGAGTGTTTTCGTTTTTGAACTCTGTGATTATCCACTCGGTAGAAAACGGATCTTTCACCTGCAGTGGCAAACAGTGCTCTCTTTTCAATAAAGATGAGAACACCTGCAACTTTACTCAATTCAAGTATGCTATATATTACATTTTTTTGTTTACAGGGCATTTTCTAATGGCAATAATCTTCCTTGTTAAAAGCACTTGATTCTGCACATTAATTTTTTTTAATCACTTTGTGTAAAATACAGGGATCAGTTGGTGATATGAGCAGTAAAGCTGATATCAACAGTGGCAGTTTGATAATAATAGGCATTTATTCTCAGAAACTTTATAAGTATCTGGGGAATAATTCTAGTTCATTGTCTTATTTGGATAGATTTTGCAAAACAGCAGAATTTGGAGAGAAGTTCTTTGTATAAATGATGAAGTCTGTAACCTGATGAGAACAGATACTTGGTAGAGTGAGGGAAGGAAAATGAGATGTAGATCATATTTGTGTACCCCCTAAGTCAGTTCTCAATTCAGACATCAGATATGATAGCTTGATAAAACCACTTACACTAACTTTGAAATTATGTGCTGCCCATTTCTTTAAATGCTTCAATGGGACCATCTCAGACAAGGAAAGACTTTTAACACCTCAGTCAAAGAAAATAGGGCAAGCAACGAAGGTGTGTTTTGTTTGCACAAATATCTTTATTGGAGAAAGCAATGAAACTCTCAATTCCTTTTTATCTTAATGCTACTCCTGAATTTATTGACTTCTATCGTTATTCATAAATATTTCATTGTATACTTTTACTCTCAAGACAGAAATTAATATCAGAACAGTTATATATTTCAAGCTACACAGATTTATACATGGACAAGATTGGAAAACACTGTAACTGTGCCTGCTGTTTTACAGCACCTGGTATGTGCCAGTTTACCAGTATGTGAGAAAGAGTCATTAAGAGCAGTTGTGTTTCCTGCAGTAGTGTTTGTGTTACTGAACATGTAACTTTTTTGAACAGACGCGTGTCTGAGAGCAATCAGCTATCTGTATCCCTGGCATGAGGAATGGCAGCAGTGACTGGCAGCGGGGGATGGCAGGGTGCAGTGCAGGTACAAAGCCCCGTTTGCCCTCACTGCAGGTACACGGGTGACACCCGGGCGTTTTCCGTGTGTTCACCCACCAGGGAGGCTCTGGGCATTGAGTTTATTCCAGGGAGACCCAGTGCCCCGTCCCCAGTCTTCCTGCCCCCTCCAAAGGCAAGGGGTGTCCCTGCTCAGGCCTCCTCTTGTCCTGCTTGCCTTTTCCAGCTCCCTGCTTCTGGTCCTGCTGGTTTTTGCAGGACCCCCTGGGGCCCTGTGGTTGTTCTTTCAAAGAGCACTTTTTAAATAGGTGCAGAATGTAATTCCCCCCAGTAGTGGTGAAACTCGAGGAGATTCACAGCAGCGTGTTGTGTGGAACACTTGGAGGGTTTCCATTTGGTAGGCAATTGTTTGTTTATTTCTGGTGAGAGCTGAATTTACCATTTGTGTCTCATTTTTATTCTGGTATTTAAGGAGCATGGCTGCTGTTCCTTTGCTGATAATTAGCTATCTTCATTAAATATTATCAGTAACATACAGTGCATAACTAAAGTGTCACTTCTTAGCAATCCTTTAAGAACGAATTGGGGTTTGCATGAGATTTTTTTCTCCTATGCATGTATTTGCATGTATTTTATCAAGTATTCATTTGTGCACACACACTCTGCAGAATCTCCTGAAGTAATTTGATTTCAACAGAGATATAAGGCTTTAAGAATTGATACTGGGTGCTTTTCAAAGCAGTTGATAGTCAGCCCTGATAGTGATGATATTTACTATTTCTTAAAATTCTTCGTTTGAATTTGGCATAACACTTAAATGCTACTAATATTTAAAAAATACAAGATCCCTTGGCTGTTTACATACACTTAAAATGACTGAAGCTATGTCTCATACAGAGAAGGCAAAAAAGCAGCAGTAAGACACCGTTAAAATAATATTTTGTACAATATAATAAAATATGATTTCCAGTGTTTTAAGGAATTTATAATCCAAATAGCATAGAAAAAAATGGATGTTAAAATTCAAGCTAAATTTAAAATGCTGCAAGTGAGACCCCTTAGCTAATGCAAATTGGTACAGATCTTCCTAAATATATAATATGTACAGCAAATAAACATACAGTATCGTATGTAAAGGTAAAAAATTCAAGAGATTCATAAATCAGGCTACCCTGAACTTACATTTCATTTAAGCATATGCACAATTTAAAGCCTTGGGAATCCATCACATAGATGAAATTATGCAAATTTTGCATCTCTTGGTTATTCTTGGAAATAATAAAAATTATTAGAATTTTATGTAGTTATCTACCTGAAGCTGCAATGCCACGTGGTTAATAATTACACATTTCTGTAAACTTCAGATCCAGTTTTGGGCATGGTGTATCAGTTGGGGAAAAGCCAGAGCACAATAACATTAATCAGAAGTATTCATATTACCAAATATGAATTACCAAAAAAAAGAGTCAAAAAAAAGGAAAAAGTATTTTCTAGCTTTTTTGATGGGTTGACCAAGAAGTAATGTTATGCTATACTTCTACATTTCGCCCTTTGCATTAGGAAGACTATATGGTTTTCTAGAATTGCTTCTCTATATTTACTTCTCACTTTGTTTTTTTCCCCCCACCCCCAGCATTAAATTGCTTTGATCAGTAAAGTGACTTTTTAACAGGGCCACGTTAATAATTTTCTGTCCTAGTTGTGTGTGCATGTCTGTATTTGTGTGTTTGTGAGTAAGTGTGGTAATACAGAAGTAGGCAAGCTATAGGCAGAGGCTTGTGAGCAGTAATACTCCTCCACGAAGTTCGTGTAGAAGGTACTTCTCTGGTTGTTCAGCGAGTCTCAAGACACCTGGAAACTCAGGCTCAGTGTCCACGTCCTTTCTGCTGCTGACAAGTTCCAGGCAGTACTCGTAGTTCTCTGCATCTCTTACCCATTGCAGTGAAAAGCCAGAGGAGGAACCATGGTCCGTGTGTAACCAGCACTCCCTGGGACTACAGGCAGAGTGAATTACTGTGCAGAGCGTCACAGTTAGCCTGTGTGTTGTGTTACTGATCTCTTGAGCCATCACGTCTTCAGCACAGCTCCATAAAACATGCTTGTGCAAAAACTTGAGATTTGCATGGGTTCCGTTTCACACAGGTGCATCAGTGCTAAGGTTTTAGCATATGGAACATTTTCACTTACGTTTCACTGCTGATCACTGTAAAACCTCCCACCCTGCGATCCAAATAAGACACACAACCACAATTTCACTGAAAAGACAACAGGTGAATATGAGTTTTGTTTTTGTAAAGAAATCTAGGTATTCTATCCTTGTTAACAATAAACCCTCCACTGAAAACAGTATTAATGGTTCTGAACTCTTCAGTGCAAGTATTGCAGAATTCTGTAATTGATTTTCGTATTAATAGTATTTCTTAGTGTATACCCTTCTTGCTGATACAATGACTTTCTTCAAAAATCATTGACTCAGAGTCTAAGAATTTCCCAAAAGACATCTTAAATTTTTGAATTCATTGCAGGAATAGTTTGTTTGTTTGTTTGTTTGTTTTTTATTGACCAGCTTTATCCATACCTAGTCTTGAACTCTTTGCTGAAATGATGCTTCAGGAAACATCTTTATGGAATAAACTACACTAATTCAAAAATGGCTAATCCGAAAAAGAAGAGGTCATGATTCGTATTAGGAAAACATGCATTTTTACTTATTTGCAACATTGTTAAGTTGCAGTGTACAAAATGCTAGTTTATTCTTTATGTGCTTATTTCTTACAGCCTGTAATTCCAAGCAGTCCTACCAGCAGTTCTACTACCCCGACCGGTACAATGGGCCTGTCCTCAAAAATGGAGAACTCGGCACTCCAGGATGTTTTTATTCTGTCTCCTATGTCAGGACTTTATGGCCCCAGGTATTTATCTCCTAATGAAGCTGCGGTTTTGCAAAACAAAATTTTTCACTTTCAATAGACTAATAAAAAGATTGCACATTTCACTCTGTGTGTGTATGTTTAAATATTATTTTTTTTTTAATGAAAATTAATTTTTCACACAGGGCAGTACAGAGTGGCTGTATGACAGGTATTATTTCCAGTACAGCAATGAGGGTCCAGTGGTATTCAGGATTGTCACTAATATTTATGAGAATTAAGAACTAGAAATACGTTAGGCAGGATTGTTTTGATGGACTTTTAACTTACCATGAGCCAGATAGAAAATCTGCATGCAGCTAGTTTAGCAAAATCTAGTTTGGCTCCTAAATGAGGAATGCTTAAAAAATATATATATTGTATCATTTTGTTCTGTTTACTCTTCTGTGATCACTTGTATCTTATTTTAAAGCATGTGCTTTTTCCAAGGCATCTCATATTATACCAATTCATTAGGCTTCCTTTTGCATACTGGAAAACTTAGAGATTGTTTGCTATAATTCAACATTTTAACCGAAATAACAGAATTAAGAATCAGAATTTGCATTTCACCAAATCCAGTTTCAAATTGGAAATGCAGGCACTATGTGTTTTTCAGCACTTGACTGTAGGTTGCAGAATATTTGCCCTACCTATTAGGGCCACCTTTGTTTTGGCGCTCTCTTGCTTTCTTCATGTGTCTCTCTATTTGCTTTTTTTTTTTCTTTCCTCAGTAGTAGATTTAGAGCTAGCCACTCAATTCATTACCTTTATTTTTGTTTTAAGGAGAACAAAGTAAGACAAAATCCCTTTTCTCTTATAAAAAGAAAAGAAACTTGAAATAGCACTGTGTAGTATCTCTTGCATGCAGAATTAAAGATAGGTCAGAAGAATTATTAACATGTAGTATGAGGCTGAGAAGGTAATTCATATAGTTCATAGTGAATATCTTCCATATATTCCATATTTCTGTCGAACAGTACACTGTCCCATCGCTCTTCACTGCTGGGAGGCAGATCAGCAGACTTGTGTTTTGAAGAGTCAAAAATGTAAGGGAAATCATTTGAGCCTGGAAGATACTGGAGTATGTGTTTACTGTCAGAGCCAAGGCTAAATCAGATACATCTTCTGGGGAAAAAAAAGTAGAAGTTTTGCCTTGAGTTCTTTTACACTTTCCGAAAACATAAACATGAAACGTTTTTTACGTCTGTAGTGTTTAGGAGAGAAAGATGGTACAGTTTAGCCTTATCATTGAGTGACTAATTTGCCCATAATCTTCTGTTTTTTCAGAGATGAAATTGGAATAATGTCTTGTGATGACATTAGCAAATTTGGAAAGTCTGGAATAAAAGGTTCTGAGTCTCCAAGCTATTTTCTGGATCATGAAAGTGGGAAATACTACACCTTAATTGAAGGTGAGGGTCATCCTGTGGGGTCTGAGTATGAGCGAAGCAGAGCTGCTGGAGTGCGGAGAAGAGAAAAAACACCTACTCATGGTAGGCTCGACTTCCTGACACTCCTAAATTCACTAGATTAGCAAATTGCTTTGTTAACACTGTGTTATTTCCCAAAATTCTGCTGTTCTTTCTTAGACTATGACGTGGTCCTTGTGCATGTCAGGCAAAAATGTCTGTAAAGATATACGTAGTGTAACAAAGAACTAGCATAAAAAAAGTTACTTGTAAACTTATTCTGCAGTGTCTATTCTGAATGGTTGTGTCATGTTCTAATTTCCAGTATTACTTACTACACAGCCTTTTTAATTTTTAAAAATTACATTGGTTCATCTTGAATTGTTTCCAGGAGATTTAAGGCCTGTTTCTATGCCTACTGAGTACACCTGGACAGGGGAGTCAAAAGAACAAAACGTGTACAAGAGGGGAAGCAGAGGTGAGTATTTTTTCTCTCTGCTCTTTTCCAATCATTTTTTGTTGCTGCTGTTTTCTAGGAAACATGAAAACATCATCACATGAAACAAATGTTTTGGTGAATGCCACAGATAATCAGAGACCACACAGACTCTTTTTTATTTATTGTATTTGTATTTCTGAAAATTAAAAAGCTGGAATTACTTGTGAGGGATTTAATTTAATTCTATTATGAAGGAACGGAAATAGAAATTATAACATCCAGGTATATGCTGTTAACAGCCAGTCCTCATCTTTTCACTTTTGTATAAAAAGTTATTATAGATGCAAATAATAACCATTGAGACATATTTTGAGGAAAATGAATGAATATTGGAAACCGAATCGATAATTGTGCTACATTCACCTTTGCAATCCTCATTATACCAGCTTCTGCTGATTTCAGTGGGAATTGTGAATTTTGGAAGAAGTCTGGTGATAGCAGAGTACCTGAAGGCTTAAAAGAGTGGTGTTTCAAAGCATGAGTATAATTTCAGTTCTATTTGAAAGATGCAGCTTACAGTTTTTCTTTAATTCTCCATATTGATGGTGCTAAATATAAAATGCAGTAGTGGATTAGTAGTGGATAGTAGTGCAGAGAGGATGCCAGTTATCTTTCAACTTTATACCAACTCAAAAATTTGAGCACATACTATGCTGTTAGGAAATAGTTCAGAAAAAAATAGGTTATGTTGCTTTCCTCGTTCACTAGCATTTCCTTTCAAATAATTATAAATATGTATCTGTTCAGTAGATTTATACTCTAAAAATGTGTTGATTTGTTGGTAGGTAAAATAGACTTTAAATCAGATTTTGTAGACTTGTCTATCTAATGTATGCAATCTGAAAATATTTCTGCTCTTAAAAATGAAAGGATTCTAATCTAAGCTTAATTGTGTAAAAATTCTGCAGTAGCCTTGATATCTATTATCCACCTATCTGAAGAGATCATCACCAGGTACCTCTGCATAGGCTACAGCAGAAGTGAATTTTTCAGCTTACAGAATGCAATGTAAAACAGCACTAGAAATAAAAGCGAGCTACGTCTGTGTTGTCTCAGGCTGGGTTGCAACTGGAGAAGGGCTTTCATTCTGCTGTCCTTTTGGAAGGGTAGGCCTTTGAGATACCATTTGAGATGGTTTGAAATTCTTGCCATATTGAAGACACGTGACTTGTGCTGCCTGTCCCCTTTCCCTGTGGCATGTTGCTGTGCTTGTTAGTGGGCCACCACGCATTTCAGAGGATTTGTTTTTCGTGGCAATTACTTTGAACCAAACTGGAATCAGTTGTGCTGCGTTTCTCTTGTGTTTCTTAAGTACCTTTTAGATGTCATTCAATTAAAGCAAACTTTATGTTATGACTTGTATTTGAAACACGGCACAACAGTACAAAAAGTTACTTAAGATTATAATAAGCTTCTGATAGAAACAAGCAAGGCTTTATTTTTAGCCTGTAACACATATAAATATTTAAGAAACCCAAATTTTCTTGTTCTTTCGTCTTCTTTCTCTTTTTTTTCTCCAACAACTGACTCTGAGAATTCTCTCCTGCGGTACCTGAGTGATGACAAGATCTTGGTGATCCAAGAAGAACCTTTGATGCAGAAAGACAACAAAAGGGACACAGGCCGTAGGTCAAGAAAAAAGGGCAAAAGCACAGGCAGCCCAAACTACCCCATTAGTCCATCTGTGCTAGCATCCACTATTAATGTGAGGCTTGAACCTGGACAGCAAGATGTCTTGAATTTCTCGCTCGCTGAAAACAATACAGTTCCGCTTTATCACGTAAGTACATAACTAAAAATTTTACTTCATGAAGTGAATGGAAAGAAATATATTTTTTTTCTTTCGGAACTGATAAAGGTATAACATCATGTTTTACATTTTAATACTGTGCTTTACATTCTAATTACTGCATTTTACGATCAGAAAACTTAGCTTATGTATTTTGATAGTATTCACATAAGAGCATTCCAGGCAGAATGGAAAAACATCAAGTGTTTGATATTAGATGCTTGAAGGAAAAATAGTGTTAGTTCCTCAGTCTGTGCTTAGCTAAAATCGATCCTGTTAGTCTTTCTAAGGTTCACATGTATCTCATGTTCCTCTCATGATGGTGATTAATGATAAATGAGCTCTTGTGTTACATGTCCATAATGAGAATTGGTTCATTCATAGTAATTATTTCTTGTGACTCATGTGACTCATATGTGACTCATGTGAATATCCAATTCTTACAACTGCCATTAAAAAAAAGCAGTAGATTCTCGTGACTGTCAGCTAATACAAAATCTGGCTATATTGGTTTGGAAGCTCTGAAGTAATGAAAAGCCTCTGAGAGATCGATCCTCTCTCTCCATGCTTTGTGTGCAGATACTGTCTTTCATGGAAACGTTCCCATTGGCCCTAACATTTGGGAAGAGACCGCTCTATTCTTTTTCCTGGTGGCACAGAGTAGTACTTGCCAGGTGTTTTGTGCCCAAATATTAATCTTTTCAGTAGAGTCATGCTGAAAAATGAGCCTCATTCCCTTTCCGCAATCAGTAATGGAAGCTTTTCAAGTTATTTTCATTTTTTTTCTAATGAAGGTGAATTTCCTCCTAGAAAATGCAGAACATGTGGAAAGTTTCTTCCACCTGTCTTGCATTTAGGGTTTCTAAATGATGAGTCTGTCACTGAGCAAAGTCTTGGGAGATGATTATATTTACATCAAGTATGAGAGCTGGGTAGAGTTTATCTAAGAGGATGTGTTGAAAATGTGGAGCCAGGCGATTCATCTCTGTTTCCTGTGAGCTATCAGCATTTCACAATGCAAAGTTTAGATACATTTCTTCTGCCACAGTACAAAGTAAGTTTCTCTTTTATTTGCTCCTTGACATGAGCGTTTGTAGAAAAGCAGAAAGAGCTCTTCCCCACCTTCTGATAGGTCCAGCAGATTTTTAGGTCAAGATTTTGACTGTCCAGTGGCAGATGTTTTGTGTGATCAGGCCCACAAAATAAAAGGAAATGATTTTAAATCCAGAAAGAACTGTACCTAGTATACTAGGATGAATGACAAAATTACGTATATTGGCCAAAAAAGCAAAACACAGTGAATTAAGTATAGAAACGATGTTTAGGAATCCTCCTTCAGCTGTTATAATGTGACTATGAGAAGATGCATGGAAGAGAGTTATTCATGGCCTGGCTCAGTGGTGTCGATTGTTGTAGCAGTGTAAATGTTCTCCAGAACCTTTTTTGAGACAGGCTTTCTCAGTCCTTCAGGAGGTAGTTGTAGCAATCAAATATCCCAGGCACCTAGTCAAGTGCCTTATATTAGGAACCGAGTTGATAAATCTGAAGAGTTACCGTGACAAGCTGTGTGGGGTATTGCCAGTAAAAATCATTGGTATTAACTCCATCTTTATGCCCTGAAAAGTAAAGCAAAAAATTGTTTGACGTATCTACCCTGAAAAATAGTTACCAGAATGAGTATTTTGCCTAAATGCATATTGGCATTTTGCTATTGAAAAGAATAGCAGAGAGTTGTGGTTCTATTTAAAAACTTAGTTTTGAGTAGGTCATTAAATTTCCTTAATATCCAGCCATATTAGCAGGATATTCTTAAGTATTTCAGTGCATTTATTTACTAAAATAATGAGATATCTTATTAAGAAGACATTGTGCAGCCAGTAAGTCTAAGATTAATCTGAAGGTCCTTCAAAGCTTTACCTAATCAAATTATCATAAATCAACTTTTGCTACTTACTCATAAAAAAGTAATTTATTTAAGATCAGGTTAAGTTTGCTAACTTTCCTCTCCTAGTATGTTTTGTTGTTGTTTAGATCAGAATTTCAAACGAGGTGAAAGGTTTGTTTTGTTTTGAAAACAGAGATGATAGTATTAAATGGAATCTGAAGCCTCTTCAGTTAGGGGAAGGTGATAGTGTCTTGTGAGGAAACAAGTGCAGCAGGATGGAATGAAAATCAGATATTCTGTATCGTTCTGCCTTTGTTCTTTTCTTAAAGCGTACATATGTAATATACATTTTGAAAAGGCAGTAGCTGCAATTACCAGATACAAACATAAGTTTTACAAAATTGGTAATTGCATAGATTCACTACTAGATTAATGCTTTGGAAGCCATATGGATTTAGAACCTGGAATTAAACAATTAGACTGATTTCGTAAGTTGCTGTGAGGATGCAGTTAAAATGGATATTTAGGTAATGCATTATTGGCAGTATGCCCAGGATTTAAATTGATGCACAGAGCCATGCTGCAGTAAAACACTACTGTCAAGAAACACTGCCCCTTTCAGTATATATTCACAAATCTAAGGTTTGTGTCCTGACTTCTTTTGGTGTGGATGATTGTTGTTATTCAGTTCATTGTGTCTTTTATTAATCTTTTTCTTTAGCTGCTTAAATACTGAGTACCTGTTACACCAGTGAAAGTAAAAATTCCCATTCTGATAGTATCAAATACTCTCTATTGATTTACCATCACTTGAGACTGAAAAATGCAGTATCTGTTGTCTAGGACAATGATACAATCTGTGACATCCTCAAAGTACTCTAATAGGCAAAGTGAAAAAATGCAGCAAGTCTTACTGATTTAAGACATTGTTAGGGTATCTTTTTATGAATTTGTACTGTGAAAGCTGATGTGAATTGTTTAAATATTTGCTTAGAATGAGTTTCATGTTGTTTTTGAATTTCATGGTTTTTTATTAATCTTACTGATGTGCATTTCTATGATATGTGTCAGAAAATCTGAAGAATGGAAAATTACAATTAAACAGGCCACTACAATTAATCAGTAGAGTATTTGTTAGAACATCATTTCCTGGGTTTGCTAATGCTTCCCTGCAGTAGTGGCACTTTTTCCTAGGTAAGTCTTAAGTCATGAGGCAGATGCAAGTGTCAGGAAACTAAATCTGTTACTGCTTTGCTGAAATGTGCTCTCATAGTGGACTTAGGATGTACAGTAATAGAGTTAAAAACAGAATATGTTTTTATTTTGTACTAGCAGAGGTTTTTTTTTTCTGAACTAAAGAATTAGCCAAGTAGGACTTCTGCACAATAGACCAAACTAATAATTGAAAATTTTCATTTTTCCTAATAAAACAAAAGGAGAAATATCTTAAGTGGTAACACTCTGCCTTCAACTGTTGTTCAGGATTTTTAAAAACTCTAGCAAATTATAAACTCTCTGCTGCTCCCTCACATGTTTTACTATGGGAACAAGCTTCGGTCTGAAAGGAATACTGGAGTTCCCAATCTTTAAATGCTCCAGGTGCTGAACTTTGTGACTCTGCAGCCTCTGGTGAGAGCTAGTTTCTCAAGTTCTGGATTTAACCTGCTGATTGCTGCATTAAATTATCAGATAGGATGGTGGAAAGGTCATCTGCCAGTTTCTGGCAATAGAAGTCCAGAGTCTGTATTCCACCTTGTAGCTGGGTATGTTCTGCAATGTGATATATCAAGAAATTGCATTATAAACTATCAAATTCCCTTTTTAATTAATATTCAGCATGCAAAAGACATTTATAGCATTCTCTTTGTAGTAAACCAGAGACCATGTCTGCTTCAGATCAGTCATTGTGAACATTGTAGCAGTGCTTGCTTTTTAGCTTCAAGATTCGTTGAAGCTGTGCAGTAGTGAGGGTTACTCAGGGATCCACAGTCGTTGCTTCACTTACTGCTTGCGTTCTGCTGATCCCACAGAGATGGAATTGCACAGTAAAATAAAAGATGTTCGGATGTTCTTGGAGCTGGAGAAACCACGTTGACAAGTGGCATTCCGTACAGTGGTGTGTGTTGAGAGCTGAAATGTGGGCAGCTAAGCCAAGGAGGGATGTGATGCGTGTGCTGGTGTGTGCCAGGTGTTCCCCGTGCCTTTCGGAGGGTGAAAGGCAGCCTGTCCACTGCTCTCATAAAGACGTAAATAAAGAAGGCAGCTGGGGAGTTGGCAGCTCCGTATAACTGAAGGAGGAATCTTTTGTTGCTGATTTAGTGGGAAAAGTGCTCAGAATTCACTTCTCACTTCCTATTTTTGCAGAAAGAAAAGTCAGCTGTCAAAAGTTAACTGTCAAACATGGGAATAAATTCATTCTGAGATTTATTTCCTTTCTGACTTAGAATAATTTTTAACTTTGCTTTGTTTATATATAAGCATCTCTAACATGGACAACCTTTACCTACTTTGCAGGTATCTTGCAGAATCACTTTGAGGACAATTAGGAAGCTGGCAGATCAGAGAAGCTAATATGAGCTCTCTTAGTTTCTGTCACTTCAGACTGATTCTTTCCAGTTCAGGCGAGCTTTATTTGCACTGTCTGGTGTAGAAGTGTCTTGGGGTTTATCCAAGTAAACCCCAAATGATGGGGTACATCATTTTGGAATAGGTCCCAAAATCTTGTGTTGAAATTCTACCTATTTGGAGAGGTCATAGAGGTCTACGACTGATGTATTTGCAGCGGCCCGTGAGATCTTACTCAGTAATTTAGTCAAAACACAAGCTATTTAATTCTGTTTGCTTACAAATGTTCAGGCTACCTTGTTTCGTTGTGTTCCTTAAACTGTTTGTTATATGTATATGTATAAATATATATGCATATAAACTGTTATTTTAGAATGATTTATAGCAAAGCAGAAACAATATATCTTTATCCAAACAGTAACCATGTTTTTCTAATTATTTTTACTGTATTAGAACGTAGTCAAACTAAGCTCTTCTCCAGCCTTCAAATTAACTAACTACCAACTAAAATTAGCAAATGAAGCATTCATTTACCTCCTGT